GATCGGCTAGTATGCCGACGCAGTGTGGCCGACAATGCGACTGGACTGCAATGCCTGTTTAGGATAAAGGCATGTGCTCAAACAAAACGTCACAGACCTTTGGCGCAGTTACCCGGCGCGGTAAAATTGAATTCAGCTCTACCAGTGGTGCACTGAAAGCACGTGACCACACGGAGCTCCCGCAGTGTGGCCCCCAATTGGGTGTATATTTTCCTCCCCTCGCACCCTTTACCGGAGCGGATGGAGATATGGCCGATGCTAAAATTATCAACCAGCGAGGGTCGAGACGCGGAGCTAGACAAAGGAAGTTGAAACACGTGTTGTCATGGCTCTGCTTAGACCGCAATCGGCAAATGTATAAAGACAATTTTCACACACGAAAATTCATGTATTTTCCCAGTTTTAGAGCATGGAAACTTGTACGAGTCTTAAGTAACAACGACAAACGCTATTTTATTCTGAGAGAACTACAATTCGGTAAGCTTTACTACAAACATACGCGTACCGTGTATACAATAACAACATTGTTTTAGAAAATTTGCGCTTTTAGCCTAATCATCAATGGACAAGATACAGTGGAGTGGGTTAGTACCACAAATAATCCACGCTGATCAGATCTATCTCATTGGCCTGTACATTGTTCGTGAGAAACGAAATGAAAAACGTAATCTTTGCAAAATATGTCCTGTGTGTTAATACTTGCGTGTATTGTTATCAGATTAACAATTAATCCAGCTTCGAACTTCTGATCTGAGCACCGCATGCTCAAGACCCATTTCTGAGACTGACCGTACAACGCCACTGACTGGTTAAAGGAAAATATGCACGCGATAAATCAAAATAATTAAAAGAACAGGCCTACTAGAGGTGTGTTGGCCTGTTTGACATGAACACAACGTAAACTGTTTTTGAAAGCTTCACATCGTTGTCTTTCGTTTGATCCCTGTTACACCGATGCGACGGATAACATGAGGTACGCTATTTGTTGGAATTCTATGTTCTCCGTCTCTGCGTTATTTTCACGCAAAATGATGTTTCAGTTTCTTCTGTTTTCCCACCATGTTTATATTTCACATGATACGGGAATGAAATGTATGATTGAGGGGTAAAAAAATTACGATGTCTGAAAACAAAGTGCTGATTAAAATATTTGCAACTGAGACATGAAGTAAGGGAAATGAAATAATCCTGTTGCGTTGCACGGTGTTTCATACATTGTACTCTTCTGGTTAGAGGCTGACTACATAATGGAGAATGATACAGATAAGACATGTAGCATGCATGTGAGAAATACAAAACGCATAAAGAATTAAGGACGAAAAACTTTCAAGGGAAGAAACCACTTGGGAGACCTAGGCGTAAATGGGATTATAACGATGGATCTTTGGCGTATAGGGTGGTTATAGTGAGCTGAGCTGAACTGAACGGAAATGGACTGAATCGCACTTACAGAAACTTCACTTTGTTTTAAACACAAACAAACGAAAGCTAAAGTGAGTAGTATCTACTCAGTTCGAGGACTTTTTAGGCATACTTTGGCGGATCCAAGGTTGAGAAAAGACTGACATACGGTGGTTGCTAAATTTTGTCCCAACAAGTTTAAAACATTTCCTTTGGAGTTACCGAAGGCGTTTAAACGCCAAAACGCATGTATCGAGTTAGAGCAGACAGTTAAAGTTAAAAGTTTTGATCCAACCGAGTGAATTATACTGGAAATAGCTTCTTATCCCAGTAAAAGAAAACAATTCGTATTTTAAATTACAGTCCGAATGTAAATAATTGTATTTTAAATTAAAAACGTCTGTGTTCTCCTTATTTAAAGACGCTGTTGCAGCTACATACATAATTTCAAAATGTGTATCTTAAACGTAACACTGCATAAAGAATTTCGATAGAGACCAAGACGTAACAGTAAAATGAATCTCCGAGAATTAGTTTGTGAATGTGAGAACTGGATTGGGACAGAGTCCAATAACGGGCTTTGTGATCATGGTGATGAACACTGAGGTTCAGAGACAACAGAAACTTTCGACGCTACACAACTGATACTTTATTTTATTTATTTAGTGTTCTGTCTGACGACAGGTCCATATGAACAGGATCCTTCCATCCTTTTCTCGGACTGGGACCTGTTCATATACGTTCTTGGCAGATGATCCAGAAGGGGTTTGCCATTGCCTTCTTCTGTGTGAGTGTGAATGGAGTAATTGTTGGGATGCCAATGAGGAAAACTCCGTGTTGCCTAGGCCACGGCCTTGCCCAACACAAGTTAGAAATTCCGTGGCGGCACAACTGATACAACATACATAAAAATGGCACCGACAAATAGACCAAGAATCAGTTAACAACATGAAATGCTTGTTCAGCTGAATTTGTACTGAGTCAAATCACAAAAGCAGGCTTGTAGTTTTAAAGTTTGGGAAAACTCCGTTAATCCCACGGGCCTTCGGCACCAATATGTGGGTCACCCCTGAGAAAAAACAATTAATCGAATATCAAACTAATGTTACGTACATGTATCGACCAAGGAGGGTAATTTTAAGCGATTCTGTCTTCCGTCCGCAGAATGAAGTAGGTCTAATATCAATCAGAGGCATGACTTCCAAATCGAAAAGGCATAAAGCTATTTCTCCAGGTGTTATAAACATGCTAAGGCTAACAACATTCCTACCCGAATCCTCCTCTACCCTCATATTAGTTGACGGTTCGACTATATCCAAGCGACTTTCTCTCTTTGACACATGCTTAGAACAGGTGTGACCTTTTCCAATAGCGTCTATTACTCAAGAGGTCAGATTGACTCCAGCTTCTACAACAAAAGAGATGTTCCCTCAGAAAGTCAACATTACTACCACTCTTGCACTTCTTGCTAACAATGTTCAAAAGTTAAACTGATTGACTTACTTTAGTCGGCTTGGTTGGCAGGTGATGAATAATAATGACTACCTCGTACGCGTGCCACTAATCAGTTCAGTTTCCCGAGGCTCGTAACGTCCTGAAAAAACAAGAAAAGTAAAAAAAAAAAAAAATATAGATACATTTTAATATTATATCATAATTAATTCGTTCGTTGGTAATGCTAATCCATCAAATACTGCCAGCCACATTGAATGTAGTGATTTGAAAAATGATCATGATATAGTTACAGGTTATAAATTCTTAAGATTCGTGGACATAATCAAACAGAATAAAATTAGTCCAACAACGTAGTCGTCGAGATTACAATTTACCGACGGATGTATCTAACACTCCCATTGCACGAGAATATTGTATGCACTATGTGAAAAAATACCGAACGTAGTGGCCGATTGGTTAGCAGTCCTGCTTCGTATTCGGAGGTTCCGGCCCCAAATCTTGGCCCAGAAACCGGCTATACTAACTGCGATCTTTCCGTGGTTACCCCAGTCCCTCCAGGAAAATTCCGGGATAATTCCTCAAATTAGGCCATGTCTGTTTCCTTCCAAATATGAAATAATCACATTACATTATCTATGTTACAAAACTGGCCAGAGATACATGATTAATACACTGTACTCGGACGCTATGCTCTCTTAATTCTCATTAATCTTCATCTTGAAGTAATCTCTCGGACGTGCATATACTTTCCTTGGCGTTTAAGCTATATGAACCAACTCATGCACAAAATAAAGAGGAACTGCTCTTTCAATGACTGGTACAAATGCTACCATCTTTTGTAACAGTCTAGTATTGTAAAGTAGTACAAATTAATGAGGAAAATCCCGGGTTCAAAATCACCTAATGACGCTCTCTTCTCTTTGGAAGTTACTACGAGGAATAAATTTTGCGGAAGTTTATATTTAATGCCAAAGCGAATTAATTACAATGTCAACATCTAGTACTCTATGACTGGTTGGGAAAACTAATTCTAAAAGCATAACAACATTGTGCTGCACAGTACTGACCACACGACAGATGGAAATGTATGTAGAGATGGAGATCACAACTCCAAGGTAGGATGATTCGGCACTGTTCCTCTTTCACAAATTAATCAATGACAGGAAAACTTACTCTTCACAAAGACATTATTAATTCGAATCTTAAGTTAAGGTAACAGTACCTGTGCAGTATTGTAATAATGACTCCGCGGATCTTATGTCAAACATACGAACACTTCTACAATATTAAAACGCCATATTGTACTTTCCGCGTCCACACACAATCGACAGAAAAATTTTCCTTGGAAGAAGGGAATTTAATTCCACTGAATCGTAGGAAGTGTTTCACTGAAGCAACAAACGATGCGTGCATTATGCTTAAAATGTGAATGGTGCGTGGAAACATATGTCAGTTGTCTTATTGTCCAGTGAGGTTATGTTTGTGACAAACAGAAGTAAATTGTGTACCACACATTTGATCCACACAGTCGTACGGACGTTAAATATATTCCATTCAGGCTTCAAGGCGCTTAATGGTTTACGTGATACCTATTGACATTCAAAACATTGCAGCAGATCGTGTAGTTTTGTGTGTAATCTCGTTTGTTATAATAAAGAAAAAACAGTGTGCCAAGAATTATTTAAAAAAATTACTCATTAAGAGCCACAAGAATTATTTTCTAAACATAAAGAAATACACCAATATAGTTATTAAACACATAAGCATTTTAAATATAATTGGTGATTGAAACTATAATGGCATCTCAAAAAGTGACTGGATATAAATTTTTAACTTACAGCAGTAAGTATTCGGCAATTCGGCACATTAAATTTGATATGCAATCCATATTTGACAAGTCACTGAGGTTGGTACAACCAGACACTTTACTGAAGATGGCCATTGAAGTAAAAAATGATACTTTAATTGTGAGAGATACACATTATCAGCTAAATAAGAACTGCCATCTGATTGGGTTTGGTAAAGCAGTTTTGGGCATGGCATGTGAAGCAGAGAAGATACTTGGAAATCATTTATGTTCTGGAATTATTAGTGTACCAAAAGGTATACGAGAAATTATGAAGAATCCTACCATGCAACCTAAACCAGACAGCATACTAGAAATCATAGAAGGAGCAAAGAATAATTTACCAGATCAGAATGCTGAGGAAGCTGCAAGAAGAATTAAACATCTGGTTCAGAATTTAGGTAGCAATGAACTTCTAATAATCTTACTGTCAGGTGGTGGATCTGCCCTGTTACCTCTCCCAGTGTCACCAATCACTCTACAAGAGAAGTGTCAAGTGGTGAAACTTTTGACCGCTGCAGGAGCTAATATAATTGAATTAAACTGTGTACGGAAAAAACTCTCTGTTCTGAAAGGAGGACGGCTTGCACAATTAGCTTACCCTGCCCAAGTAGTGGCATTAATTCTATCTGATATTGTTGGAGATCCAATAGATTTAATTGCTAGTGGACCCACAGTTGTAAACAGTGATGCACCAGACACTGCACTTAATATTATAAGAAAGTATTCCCTGCTTGACAGAGTGCCAGTTTCCATACAAATGTGCCTGAGCACAATAAACACTAATATATGTCAAAATGAAACATTAAGTGATTCAAGGACGTTTTCTCATGTTCAGAATTTACTGATTGGATCAAATTTGACAGCAATAACAGCAGCAGCAGAAGCAGCTTCAAATATGAATTATAACACTATAATATTATCTTCAGGGATTGAAGGGCTTGTAACAGATGTAGGAAGAATGTATGCCACATTGGCAACTGTTATCTGCAAAGCTTTGTGGAACACCTCTACACCCAAGGCAGTATGTGAGGAAGTACATGAGGTTTTTCATTGCATGAAACAACTGTATGCTATCTGTGATAATGCAGAGGAAAAGGTTCTGCATGCTATGAAACAAATGAAAAATAAGAAAGGAATATGTTTGATAGCTGGTGGAGAAACTACAGTCATTGTTAAAGGTAATGGTTTAGGAGGAAGGAATCAAGAACTGGCAATGGTCTTTGCTAGAAATATGAATGAAAATTCAAAGTCATTTCCATACTTGGATCAGTTTCATGCTGTTTTACTGAGTGCAGATACTGATGGGATAGATGGCCCAACTAATGCAGCTGGAGCTTTTGGTTATAAGCATCAATTTCATGCAGCAATAGAACAAGACCTAAAATCGGATGAATATGAAAATAACAATGATTCATATAACTATTATTTAAAACTAAATGGTGGCGAAGATTTAATAAATGTTGGACATACAGGAACAAATGTAATGGATATGCATATCTTAGTTATTGAATCAATCGTAAACAGTCGCTAATGCTTAATCCTGTAAAAAGCAGTTGAATTTAAAATTGTAGTTTTGGTACCAGAAATACATTCTCTGTTCAGGTGAAATTGTAGATACCTTTCTAAGCATTAAATAAATATGCTATAGAGAAATTAACACTTCTTAATTAGGATATGTTGGCAGCTAGAGCATATAATTTTACTAACACATGCTCCTCAAGATGTATCAAATTGAAGCACTCCTGGCCCCAGAATTGTAGCTGAGTGATGATCACAGACTTAAGTGAAGTAATTGTAAACACAACACATACATGTTGTACAGTTCTTTACTGTAATGTTCCAGCTTGGAGTTGAAATCTGGCTGGCAGGTTTGTAATACCAAGGTTCAAATGCCCTATTCTCATGTGAGATAAAGTTTATATACTGCACCCAGAACCAAGTTTCAAACTCCAACTAACATACAGTTACACAGCTGCAAAAAGTATTTATGTCTGTACTTTATGCCTTTGATAGCAAATTAAAAATGCAATTACTTCCCTCATTAAACAAACAGTAACTTTCTCAGAATGACTTACATTTTTGAATGTGAACCCTCTATGTAAAAAGGGGTAAATACTTTCCATCTCCACCTAAAAGCCAATTCCATCACTGAAATCATTCTCAAAAGTGCTTCAGAAATTTATGTATGAGAGAGAAAGTTATCTTAAATTCCAACAACTTCCTTGCACGAGAATAATTTTGACTTAGAAATTCATAGATGAAATTTTGTGTTCCTTGCAATAATATTTACACTGGTGGAATATTTTATGACTTTGATGAAGCATATGACTGTGTGAATATTGATGTGTTGGTTTCAAAACTAGATTTTTATGCAATTCAAGGTAAAGCTGGACAGCACAAACAGAAAATAAAAAGCAGGAACAAGTCCCAAAATTCGAAATATAACTCCTACTCATACTGAGGTGTTGAATAGCATGGATATCCTCAAAGTTTTGTATTTGATATTCTGATTTTTCTCTTATATCAGTTCTCTTCCACCAGGCATATATATACTCTGTAAGAGTTGAGGTTTTCACAGCGGTGAGTATGAAGATTTCTCTCTATCCATAAAAAACTTTTAGAAATATTTGCATTAATATTTTGCATCCAGAAACTGACTCCTTTCAAAACTGCATGGACAGTAATGATTTCAAGTAAAATACACTTACATTAAATGTGACAGAACAAAGTTAATAAAATTTGTTAATAACAAGTAAATGTGTATTAATTTAAATACAGGTAATGATACCAAGGTGCTACTAAATTTCTTGGACTAGAAACTGATAACAACTTAGACTGGAAAACATACATTGAGTATATTAAGTTCCATATGCTTTGCTATGAGGACTATGACATTACTCATAAAATTAGCTACTGTAATGTCCAAAAGAAGATAAAACATGACACATGTTAAAAAGACAGCTTCTAGCAGAGATTTAAAATAATTAATATACAGGTAGCCCTCGATTTACGCCGGGGATGCGTTCCTGGACGAACCGGCGTAAATTGAAACTCTTTTATAATGTAAATCAATGGGAAGTCAATGGCATGCATTCCCAGCACCCAAACATTGACGAGTAATATAATGGCATAACATTTAAAGCTCTGAAATAACGTAAATAAAATAAAGGGAATTTAAAAAATTTATTTTATACACTCACAATCGCCAATTCGTTGGTCCCCGCGATTGACCGCGATTCTTTCATGTGATTGATGTGTACAGTCATCTCTGCTGTTATGCGATAGTTGCATTCATGTAAGACGCCGACCTATAGAAAATCGCGAAGTAAAATAACCCCGGTATCTCTGCAGAGATTAAATTAGTCTTTTGAAAGTTTAAAGCGCCAGGAATGAAACTGCATATGAGCAAACTCACATATGCAAAAGTTTGCGTTTCACAAACAGCTTTTACCGACCCATCGATCTCATTGGAGCAAATTCGCGTTAACGAAACATGCGTAATTGCAGAGATGACTGTATTTATAATTTTTATTCAGAATCAGCGATGCAAGAATTACGATTTAGTATAAGAATCAGCACGAAATACATTGTAGAACGTTATAAATAATAATAAAATATATTTTTTTAACTTTTTGACTTGCTGGTTTCAAAATCGGCGCAAATCGAGGGCTACCTGTACTCTCCTCCCTTGCTATACAAATTACTAATCTAAATATTGTCATTCATTGTGGACAATAAGGAAATTTTTTGAAAAAATTCAGGCATACACAGTATAACATGATATTACTTGCATTTGTCAAATTAATTTGTTTAATAAACTTTATCAGCCATTAAATTTTTATATTACAAAATGGAAGTATTTAAACCAACATTAAATGATTTCATAGCTTACTCCTGCACTACAGAATTTACTTTAATTGAAAACTCACAAGTACTATAAATATTTATGAAGATAATGGTTCATTTCTATAATTACCTTGCTATGAATAATATGTGTTTACAACATAAGATGTAACAGCTGTAATAAGCAAGAACATATCTACATACTCATATATATTTTTATAAATTGCATAAGATGTATATGTATTAACTTTATATTATATTAAAGGAATAATCTATGAAATAAAAATAAATTCTAATTTTAATATGTCTATTAGAGTATATTTTGTTCCTGTGATATGTTTCTGTAACTGTATTGTATTTCTAAGTATTCTCTGAATGTGGTGATTTGTGCTGAGTTGTCCCACTCAACTAAGGGTTTATGTGATGCATCCATTATCTACGGATATAATGTTGCATACTAGTGGTCAAATGCATAAAATGTTGTTCACTCACTCACTTACTCTATGGTGCACGAAATTTTTTTAAAAGTCGATTGTGTACTCGGCTTGTCAATAGGGACTGAAGGTTCAAAATATTGTTACATTTCTTTATTTCATGCACTGTGATATTTCCATTGAAAGGGTTATAAACCAGAAGAGTAAATTGTTTTGGGAAATGGGTAGAAACTTCTTTTCGAAGCAATGCTGACCTATTTCCTTTCTCCAAACTTTCATGCACAGATTACTATCAACAAGTAGCTCCTGATTGATTACGTATTGTCCGGTGTAGACAATAAACCAGTGCAAACTGCCAGAAGCAGGTATTTCTTATGTTGAAATGTTGGCATTCTCTATGTGCCTTAAACGGGATATGACAGTACATGCTCTCCATAACGCATTTACTACCTAGTGTCATTGCGCTTGCAGAGCAAGTACGCTGGAGAAGTAAACACACATGTTCTCTAATTTTCTTTTACATACGTGCCAATTAACCGTTGTTTGTGAATTATCCCAAGTAATATTTTAGTTTCTCGGACAAATGTCTATAGAAAAGAAAAAATACGAATGCAATGCTCTGCCTAAAGGATGGCAGAGAGAAGAAGTTATTAGAAAATCTGGCCTTTCCGCAGGAAAAGTAGATGTGTATTATTATAGGTAAATAAACTTTTGTAATAATTAATGCACGACTTCAGCATGCTACTTGTTATAATGTGCATGATATGAAAATATCAGACAAGACTTGGTTCTTGTTTAAGTCATTACAACACTACACTAAACATAACCTGCAAAGATACACCACATTATACGGTGCTACATTCCAAAAACCACCAATATCACTACTTACTTTGCATAATTTGGGTTTTCTGTGGCTGAAATTCTTTAAAAAGCCAGTTTTATGACTTCTAACATAACCTATGCTGACACTGAATTCATCTGCACTCAAGTTACAAGGCTACATTCAATACTATTACATAGTTATGCTGCATCAATGGGCACAAAGTATATGTATGAAGCAGGACAGCTTCAGCTGTAACATGACTGACCTGTATTTGAAGGTATCTGGCCACATTTTGGTAGGCTCTCCTTCCTTAGGTTTTTCCATTTTCCTCCTTCCTTGCAGGCAAAATTTTGAGTAGTATCTGGAAATAGGCCATGACTGATTATATGTATTATCTGAGGTATATTTTATACACATAATGTTTCAGGAGTTGGCTCTACTCTTGGCTTCAAATGGTTGGTTTTCAGTATACTGACACTTCCCCCCCCCCTGTATTCCTGACAATGATAAGGAATGAACCCAAGACTAGTGAAATTATCTTAGAGGTTATGGCCCTTTCCCAGTATCACCCAAAGACAGGACTTTTTTAAGAATTAGAATTATTTACATTAATAACAAATCAAAAGGATATTCACAACAAAAATTAGGAGACTAAATTCTGGAAATGCTTACTACTTTTAAGTTAAAATATGTTGTATTCCCATCTGATTTATAAGAACATAAAGATTAAAATATACAAAACAATAATTTCTCCTGTTGTTTTCTATGAGTGTGAAACATGGTCTTTCACTCTCAGGGAGGAACACAGATTGCAGGTGTTTGAGAATAGGGTATTGATATTTGGGCCTAGGAGAGAGGACCCAGTGGACCTACACTTCTCATAAGATTCATTAAAAACACTTCATGCTGTAGTGTAAATGTATATATAAACCAAACAACACTGAGCCATAAATGAATATTGCAAGTATAATACCACTCTCTTACAACCACTATGAACTCCCAGCAGCTCATGGCAACTGGTGTAGTGTTTGTGCATAGTGGTAAGTCAATGCTGAGGCACAAATGCCAGATGACATCTCTGTGTAACAACACATTGATTAATCATATTGTGTGACTCTAAGATTAAAGTGATTTTAAGATTATTGTATTAAACAGTGACCATGGTACTTCAGTTATTATTATATTTTAAAAACCTGTCTCAATATTCATGACTGGGATCAGTTTTAATATAATTGCAAGACCATCATAAGCATTTTAGGTCTTACTATGATTTAAAAAAGTTTATAACAAAAATGCAGCAATGAAGATGGAAACTAACTAAAAATGAGCATGTAGTTGATGTGGTAATATCATCTTCCTGCTCTCTGTAATTTGTTTTGAATGCTTCACAATTTTATTTTAAATGTTTGTATACCTAATATTGTAATTGTATTATTTATCCAGTTTTCTCTGTTCTGTTGCAATGTAACTATATATGAATGCAGAAAGCAGGTAGGATGAAGGAGAGTAGCTTTGAAATTATGTTGTCCTCATACCTCTCAAAATTGTGAATTTAGTGTATACATTCTGTAATAGTAATGGTAATTTATTGTGAAAGGCATTTAAGCGACTTATGAGGTGAAAGTTCAAGCTAAACTCAGATTTCATCAAACTTTTCTTCCGTTAACACTTGGCATTGATGTTTGGTTTCTCCTCTGTTAACATGCTGGTTGTTCTTTCTTTATTGACAAAATTATGAATTGTGTTTCTGTGGGGAATTCGAATCCTAGGAAACTTTTTTCTGAATTTCCTCTGACTGTTCCTAACCAAATTGCACTTTACACAATAAAAATAAAAGGAAAGTAAAGCTGTCCCACTATACACCATGTAGGTGCTTCGGGGGAGAGGAAGTATAGCTTCTACTCATTCTTGACCTTGGCACTAGATGGGGGTGAGTGGTCAGCATCACGCCCCGGCCGCACTATTACTCCTGGTACCCATTGGATAGGAGGTTGTGTGGGCCCCAGAACCAGTCTGGATGTAGAGGCTAGAAGAAAAATCCTCTGCCCCCGTCGGAATCAAACCCTATTGTCCAGTCCATAGCCAGTCACTATACTGACTGAGCTACCCTGGCTCATGCACTTCACACAATACTCACATAAAACATCTGATGCTGTAGTGTAACTTATTAATGCCCTACACAAAGGAAATCTTGCACAGCACTGATTTGGATGTAAATATTCACACTTGCTTTTAACACCACTGCGGATGACTCATCATGCCAAATATGAGTTGAATTTAGTTACAATGTGAAATGATAAAGGTATGATCAATTCACCAAACCAGTATCTAATAATGATGATGATGATGATGATAAAAGCACAGAATATCCTAACCATTTTCATCTGTTTATGTGATTTTAGTACCTTGGAAATGCTTAATGACTACAACTGTTACATGACATATTAATTCATAATGTAAGTGACAGTGATATTAAAAAAGTTGAACAGTGTTGTGCAGTAGACTAACTTAAATGATTAAATCATGTTCTTACTCAGGGATAACAAGACAGTTAAATCTGTGGTAATCAGCATATTATATAATTCACTCCACTGTTAAGGTTTATGTTACAGTAATTCACTGTAAGCAAACAGTTATATTATGTGCCAGATTAGAGTAAAACTTCTTGCAGGTATATTTTATACCAATAAAACCACATGTTATATCACAGCCTAAATGGATGAACAGTTAAGTAAGAATGTATGTAAAATCAGAGACTTAAATAAGTTGCTGAAAGCAATGTACTCTTTGTTAAGAGAGAAAAAAGTTGATCATAATACAGAGAGATTTTTCAGTGGTAGTGCCCGCACATGGCCTTTACCATTATGCACAATTATTACATTGCATGTTTCTTACTCTGTCTGCTGTGACAGTGAATTAAGTTAATTCTGATGAGTCAACAGCAATAATAGGCAAGTGTGAATATTTGTGTCGTACAAGATTTCCTTTATGCAGGACATGTATAAGTTTACAATTAACTTTATCGTGAAGAATAAGAGGAAATTCAGAATAAAATTTCCTGGGGGTTCAAATTTCCCACTGAAAAACTTTTCAGAATCTTGTCAATAAAGCAAGAAAAACCAGCATGTTAACAAAGAGGAAACTAAAAAATCAACACCAATTATTAACAGTAGAAGTTGGCCAAAACTGAAGTTTGGCTTGAACATTTGCTTCGTATGTCTTGTAAATGCCTTGAGCAAAAAAAGGTAGTATCAAAAAGGACCCCAAGAATCACCACAGTCAATGAAACTTCACTGTTACAAAACAACTGCTGTGCACTTTACAGCCACATAATACAGTAGCCAGATTTAAATTTCTGTAACTGGTATCTTCTGTCAGTGGTGATATTTAAAAGCTAAAATCTATCATATCACTCAACACACAGAAGAACTCAAGAGAAACCATCTTGAAGTGTCCTGTATATAAGGGAACATCTATACTGTGTGTAAGCCAGACTCTGCTTAGCAGGTGTGGAGAATGTATCTGAGCTAATGGAGAACATTCTTAGCATCTCCACTAATGCTGGTAAGTGAACTTCACTCTGTGATGTTGCTGCAATCTCACTACTACTGTTGTAGCTGACCAGCTAGGAAAGGCGGCAACCAACACAGTATTCTTGCAGAGCAGATGGCTGTGCCCTAGCTTAGGAGCCAAAAATTCTCTCTGTATTTCCATTACCAGTACTAGAATGAGAGTACAGTATTTGTACTTACACTGGAATCACTGCACTGAAGTAACCAAGACTTGGAATCACCAGTATGTTCAGAGTTGTTGCTTTCCCATTACAGCCCAAATGGGAAGAAGTTTCGCAGCAAGCCTCAGCTCGCTCGTTACCTGGGAGATGCACTTGATCTCGCCACATTCGATTTCCGTTCAGGCAAAATCAATTCACTGCTCCTGCGAAAAAACAAGAAGCAGAGAGGGACTCAATTTGATTACAGGTAGGCTGATCTTGAAGCCTGCTAGGCATTGCTTGTGCTCTGTAGTTATCGGTACATCCTGAAATGAACGCTGAATTAATATTCTGAGATTTAGCATACAAAATGCCAGTGACTTATAAAAAGTGGAGAAAATAATTATCAGTTTATTATACTTCAAACTTTTATTCACATCTCTCAAACTAATAGAATTTCTTTGTGGCAGTTGAATCAGTTGTTATATTCTGTAGTTTGTCCTGTGAAGGTTGTGGTGGTGTGTAACTTTATAATTTGTGAACGCTGAATGTTTCATCCTGCTTGTGATTGCATTATGTAATGCTTTTCTTCTTAAAATCTATTTTTTGTTCAAGACAGTACTTGGCATTATGACTAATGATTATTCTCCCTGATAATACTGTGGCTGTATAAAACAGAATGAATGTAATATGATTTTAGTCGTGGAGTAAGAAATGATGCATCACTTGTACCACCAATTCGCCAGACAGCTTCCATCTTTAAACAGCCTGTTACTGTTTATAAGACCCAAGAAGGGAAGGTAAAAACTGATTTCAAACATGGTCCTCAGGAGAAACCAAAACAGGTATGAAAGACTGTACTGTACAAGTTTGTGGTAATTAATATATTGTAAGCAGAAGTGAGAAAAATGGGTCTTTGTCAAATCTGATCCATTCATTAATAATCATATCATAGATCTTTTATACTGGGACCAGATTTTTACATAATCACAAATTATGTCATTTGAAATATTGTAGTATTGTTTTTAAATTTTATAGTTTTAAATATTGCATATAAATGCATGTTGCAGGGAACATGGAAATCACTAAACTACTAGATGATATATTTTTTGCAAAAAGTACAGACAAGTGGTATGAACACAACTTTCTTTCCTCAAAATCATTAATAATTCTGCAGAAATAATAATTCAAGTAAAGAATAACTGACTCAGATTAAAAATTATAACTAGTTACATTAAAAAAATACTAATAGGTATATAGAATATAATGTTTCCTCTCTTCCCAAGTGCCTACATGGCATGCAGTGGGACAGCTTTACTTACTTTTAGAATATAATGTTTATCTAGTAATACTCTTTGTTTTCTAACAATTACATTTTGTATTCAACAGAAATTAAAGATGGTAAAAGTCAAATGACAAGTAATTGGAAGCTCTGTAACACTTGCTTCCTCTGTCTTACAGTCTAAGGACAGATGAACAATACCAAAAGATAGTGATCTGGTGAACACACCCCCACAGTTGGAATATCCTACTTATTTGTATGAATTCCATAGTTATGATCAGACTAACTACACACAAACCAGCTACTCCTTACGATCTTGAGAATTTTTTAAAAATAACATCACTGTGCTTGCCGTAGTTAGTTAAAGTCAACGATGGCATTTGAAACTGAGACCCACATCCAGTAAATTTATAGTTGTCTGGCTCAAACTATGAACTTGAGGTGATATGGTGTTGTAGGGGTATGCTATTAACTAGCCTGCCGTGCCAGAGTTCTCACATTCAAGACCTACCCTATGATATGCAATGAAGATCTTTTGTCACACCTTCCTCTCACCCCTCACCTTTGACAGTTAAAAGACTATGAATGTGGGACACACTGAACCCCCTTAATACATACATATTTAAATTATACATTAAGCCACACGTGCACTCAACTCTCTGCTACTGACAGTAAATTGAGTCCTTTACTATTAATTATTCTGCTTCAGATGTAGAATATTTTACATCTGTGAAGTGGCAAGAAGTCAGGAAAGTCGGAGACCGAAACTCGCTGTGTTGGAAAAACACATTCACAAAACTTTGTGAATTCATATTATACAAGGAATTTGTTTCATCTTACAGCTATTCTGGGAGAAGAGACTAGAAGGTCTACGAGCATGTGATTTAGATGGTTTAGAATTTAATGAAATGGAATTGCCCCGAGCACTACGTGCAGTGGGACCCCATGTGGGCGAAGAGACCCTACTACAGTCTGTGGCTACAGCTCTTCATGTGTCTACACAGCCTGTGACAGGGCAGACAGGTTCAAGATCTGCTCTGGAAAAGAATCCAGGTGTCTTTCTAAATCCTGATCAACCTTTAGTGCAGGTGAGCGTGTAATGCGTCAAATGCATAGCGTAATAACAAGCTCTTGGTAAAAATGACATGTAGTTAGATTTGTCAACATTTACTTTCATGTAGATGGAATTTTACAGTTCATCATTGATGGAAAGCCTCTGTTTTATTGAGATTTCTTCAGGAGTCTGAATAGAAAATGGTCGTGTGGTGCTATGTCTGTATTATAGTGATGTCAGTAGACTTACCAACAGTTGCAATATTGTACAGTGGCCTGAACTTTCCATAACCTGTAGAAGAACTTTGCTTATCAGGTTTCCAAAATGATTTCATTTGATGGCTTCATGCAGATACCTTGCCAGATATCTGGACATAAAATTTATATGTGCATCTGCCATTATGGTCTCATGTTTGGTTTCCAGGTTCCAGTGTTGAATCCATGTGCCATCATCTGTCACAAAAAAGAAGGAAATGTCTGTATTCTGTTTGAAAGTTCCAAATTTTCATTGCAACTTTCAGTCATTGTCTCTTCTCATCTGAAGTCAATATTCTGGACATGCAACAGATACTCTCTGTATACACTTGAAATTACTTATGAATAATGTAAAAACTTGTAGCGACAGAAATTGTCAGTTTATGAGCTGACTAGAAATTTTGTTGCATTGTTTTTCTGTTATCACAGTTCCCATTGTATCACAAGTTCCCAGTTACAAGCTTCAAAAGGGCACACAGATGTGAGTCATCAGTTGCTTGCTCTGTAGTTTTATTTTGAAGTACATAGGTAAAGATGCATGAATATTGGGCAAACAGTTTTTGCTCAATCTGTAATGAACACAGGAAGTTGCAAAGAATATGTTGTCACTCTGAAAACAGTTTGGGTACTGAATTGGCATCAGGTGGCTGAAATCACAAAACATGTTAGTTTTTAGTACACACACACTTGGGAAGATTACTTATTTATGTCAGTGATTTACATATCTATAATTGTTCATACAGTAGTACCATTCATAAAAATTTTCCTTAAACTTTAGTTTACACAATCTCAATATGCACCCCATGTATCACATGACACACCAAAGCTATAATCCATTTCTTGCCACACTTTTATTGGGGTGCATCAGCATTCTCCACAGCAGCTGTTATCCTATGTTTTAGTTCCTGTAATGGTGCTGGTTATGGGGGCTGAAACAACTGGTCATTTGTAAAACTCCATAAGAAGAAATCCAGGGGGGTCAGATCTGGGGATCATGGAGGCCAAGAAATTGGACCTGTCGGTGTCCCATCCATTGTCCAGGAATGGTCTCATTATGAAAATTGTGAACATTGTGTAAGTAATGAGGCAGAGCACCATCTTGTTGCAAAAAGTATCCTCTGGATAGGTCATCAGTAGCTGAGGAAGTAGTCATTTTTGCAGCATATCCAGATAAACTATTCCTTTCATTTCATTTGGCAAAGAAAAATAGGCTGTACACATTTTGCTGTGACAAAAAAGAAAGTCTGGAGAAAGTCAAACAGGTATACAGGTTTTCATTTCCCTGTATCAACACACTGTATCAAATGACATTTCCAAACAAGTGGAACATCGAGTCATCACTAAACACCATGAAATCTGTTAAGGTTTCATTTTGTACTTCATCACCCTCCACATTTGAGAACAAAGATGGAACTGGTTTTCTTCATCATCTTTTATAGCCTTCAGTAATTATTGTCAGTTCAGTTTCATCACTAATTATTTCCTGATAATATGCCACACATTGCTCTGAGATTCATGCTGACGTGAGTGGTTAGTTTTTGTGGGTTGCAAAGAGAAGATTACATAACATTTTTCACAGCATCATCACATGGCCCTTGATAGCTACCACTTTTACCTTTGTACAGGCAATCTGTCTTTAGAAATTGTTCAAATCACCAGTAGCCAGACAAGTTGGCATTCATCCATTTTTTCACTGAAACATTCTTTACATGGTTGTGGCATTGCAGGATTCGTGAGGTAAGATTAACTTTTTCTGCTGTGATCTCATTTACTTACTGCTGCAATTTGAGTGGTTCTGATGGCAGGAAAGCATACTAGTACTACACAAATAAAACTTTGAGCTTTACTTCCATGTGAATGCTACATTATATGAATTACATAACTTGTAACAAAGTTATAACACTTTGAAATTATATGAATCATGATTAACCATGTATATGCAAATATTTTATGATTGCATGATGTAATGAAGGCTCATTCCTTGAAGTTTTGCAACAAAAGTTCATATGAATTTCTTGTTTCCTTCATGCATGCTACATAACCCACTCTGCTTTTGATTTACCTCATTAAAAAGTGAGTTGGCAGATCCAAATTATGTTGCTGAACTGTGGGGTTCCATAATACCAAGGAGTTATGATGGTTATGTTCCTTCAAATGCTTTAATTTATATGGGATGTTAGTAAGGACTATAAATTATTGATTATACAGTTTAGTGGGCCATATCTACATAATTTTCATTAGTACATCTTATGGCTGTATTAGATTTCTGATATACAAGGCTTGATCACTAAGCTCAGTGAATGATCAAATACCTGTTTTGTCATTAATCCTCTTCAGAGTACTCCCCTAGGATACACATCATTTTCCAATCCTCCTGCCATTGTTAGAAACATTTCTGGAAGTCTTCTAATGGAATTACCTGCAGGTAGTATTGGAACAGCCAGAAGTCACATGGTGACAGCTCAGGACAGTAGGCTTGTTGGATGTGTTATCACATGATGGACCATTTAACTGTTCTGCCATTTTTCTGAAAGATTGTAAGTCTTCAACATAAAATGCATAATTAACCATTTGACCTCTGGAATAAATTCAGAATGAACAATTTGTTCCATGTCAAAGAACACATTTAACTTCAAGAAATCTTTATCATATCATTACTTCTGTTGGCTGTTATGAGCATTTTGGGCATTTCTGTAGCTATTTTGATTTGTTTGAAACAGTCGTATGTTTGCACATTACACAGATTTCACCAATTTGCACACACACATGCTGAACACAACTAACATAAATTCACACCGTGCAGGTGAGGGTGTTGGCCAATGGAAACTCCATAAGTGCTTGCATGAAGGTTTCCATCACATATACCACCTGCCACAGTCTTCATGTTCCCACTCATCAGGGTGACATCATTAACCAAACTTTTTGATCAAGACTTTTATGAAGTTAATAGGGAAGACAGACATGAACATGAGACCATAAATCTTTCCTTATAAACAAGGAAAGTGGGCTAAAAATTACAATTATCAGCCAACACTGGAATAATTTATAAGAGAGGTAGCATTTTATATTAAGAGTAATAAATGAAATATGATTTTTTCAGGCAGTATCTGTGGCAGATGAAGACATCAAAAGACAGGAAGAGAGAGTTGCAGTAGCACGGAAGAAACTTCAAGATGCATTGAAGAGGGTAGTGACCTAGTGTATGCTCACGTGCAGTGTTTTAATTATTGGACTAGGCTAATAAAGCCAGCCAGCTCTGGTATATTCTCAGTACATTTGTTTCCATTCTTAATATAGAGAATGTCCAAAAGACTAGTTTTTCTGTGAAAATAAAACATACAAAATAGTGCATGTTTGACATTCCTATTATGCGGGAAAGAACTGTGGAATTTTGATATAAATTTCGTGTTCATGAAAATTATTTGGTGACTGCATCCCTGTAGGAATAAAATTAAAACTGGCCTCATTGTTAGTGGAAATTAGAAAGTGATTATGTGTACTTCTTTCTGCTTCACATACTGTAATAATACTCTGTTACATTACCTGTAACCAATACTTTTTGTAAAGTACAATATGAGTATATCACAAAAACAAGTCACCAACTTTAAGATAATCTACTAAAATTGTATACTCCTGAGAATAAAACATTTGTTGCAAAGAAGTTATAAATTATATGATGGGTTCTGTGGTAAAAAGCAAACAAAAAACTCCATACAAACATGCATTTGATTTTGCTTCTGGTACAAGCCTAGAGGGTACTGAAGTCATTGTTTGTTAGTAGAGACTGACTGTAAAATGCATTAGCATTAGGTATGGCAATACATTTATATGTATTTCTTACAGGAAATGATGATACTAATATTCATTCATTTTCACACACATTTTCTGCTCACTGCATCAGAGACTAGTGCTTAAAAATTCCTGTGCATTTTAGTTTATAACAGGCCTGTTTATAGTAACTTCAACACCTTATAGGTCTCTATGGAAGCCAAATCAGACCCATGTTTATATGGTGTTTCTTGTTTCTTTTAACCATATAATTCACTCTAAGTTACAACACATATTTCTGACACACTAATGTCAGGCAACAAGGGATCTCAAAGTTAGATTATATGCAATAAAATAAACAAGTCTGATTGATCATAAAACAGAATACAATGTCACATCACAATTACATCCCTACTCAACAAGAAATGAACATTCAAGACATTTTTAATAGAATTAAATATTAAAATATAATGAGAAGCTTGACACTGCATCTCACCAACCAGTTTACTGTAAAGATGAAAGCATTTAGTTATAACCATCATTATAGTCATTCAAGTGCTTATCCACTGATGTTGACCCGTTTTGATTTTAGTTTTTCCACAGTTGAAAACCCAGATTCCCTCAAATAAGAAGAATAAAAATATCATTCATTGTGAGTGAGATACTGTTCAGAAGTATGATATTTTAATTGATACAGTGGACCATAAACTGGGCTGTGATGTTCATGACCTTGCTTACACATCTCTTTGTAAATTAATTTTTTCCATTTCTGAATCAGAGTATAGTCGCCATGGATAGCACTGAGGTACAGTATGGGTAACATTATGCTCAAGTGCTATAAATTGGATGGGCATAAGCTAAATCATGTTCTTTGGCAATTTATAGCATTTTAAGTCATATAACCTCATAACTGACTATTGAATATTTTCCTTTAGTCACATTATAGTTCCTGGCAGGGCTGTGGAGTGGTACTAAAACCTTTGGCTCCTGCTTTGACTCCGACTCTGACCCCTACTCCTTCATGAAAGCTCAATATGTATCAATTCTGTTTATGTTTCTTTTGAAAATCAGAGTTGGCCAAGTTAACTTTGTAATCTAGATACTTGGATTTTTAACATCTGGAGCAAGGCTGTACCATTATAGTAAAAACACATAATTTAATATGATGACATGGTCTTCTTATATTCATGTAAAATATGCTACAGCTGCCACAACTGGATGAATATATTGCAACATCACAACCAAATACAAGCATAATGAATACCACTGTAATAAGTCTATAATTCCTCAATGGTATTTGTGAGGTATGGCTGGAATTCAATTCCCATCAAGAGCAGATGGATGGCCTGGCAGGGGTAGGGATTTTTCTCTTTGCGCCATGTCCAGGCTGGCTTTGAGCTCAACAAGGTTCTTATCCAATGGGTACCTGCAGCACTTTATCAGGGGTTCTGGCAGGTGGAGAATGAAGTTGACCACACCTCTATCTGGTGCCAAGGTTAAGAATATGTGAAACTATACCCCTATTCCCTCATATGTTTTCATGGTGTGTGTACCTTTACCTTCATGTATATGAAGTAAAACAATGAGTTGTATTACTACATACCATATGAGAAATTCACTTTCTTGCTGATGATGGCAGTAGAATATCATAATGTGATGGGTAAGTTTTTAGCTTCCAAGCCCATGTTCACCATCAGAATGGGCAGCACCTGCAGTCAACAGAAGTGGCAGGTAATACCCTATAAAATTCTGGTAATGGCAAGCTGCAGAAATTAAGTCACATTTTAAAATAAGTACCAATTGTACAAATTATTCCATGTTATTAGCATCTAAGTATATCTAATAAAGAGTAAAACCAATACTGTTTTGGACTGCATACTGGCTCCCAAGCATTGCATCATCCTAATCATATGTTTTTCAATTTGGTAGTTCCCTTGTCAGCAGAGTGTCATACTGTAATTTGTATTCATTATAAAACGGTGGACATTTTTTCAGGTTTTACATTACACAGTATTGTGCTTAAATGTAAGTGAGCAGTGATCATTAATACAAGAACTAACTTTGCATTAACTTTATAACAATGGGAGGTGAATTACATTTCATGTATTTAAGTGAATTAAAGCTCAAAACATATAACTGTGTTCATAAAAGTAAATGTTTTTTGAATGTCCTGTTGGATCCCATAATGTTTCAATCGTACACGCACACACACACACAAAAAGTTAATCTGTGAACTGCATGACTAAAATATATGTTTTCTAAGTTCATCCAGTTTCAGACGTAGTTACACAACTGCTGACTGTGCAGAAGGGAATATTTTTGAATTATTTAAGTGTTGAAATATTCACAGTTTATCCACTTGAGTGTTTTCACCACCAAGGAAGTCTCGGTAGGGGGGGAAAATATATAGTAATTGCAGATGTCTAGAAAAGGCTGCACTACATCAAATCATGACAGTAGTGTGACTGTGGTATCTTCTTCACTATATTATGTGTTTATTAATCTAATTGAATTATGCTGTTAAGTTGTTAATGAGACCAGTGTATATGCCAAACTTTACATATTTTGAGTTTGCATGGCATGTTCTACATCCTTGGCATCTGTCAAATTCAGGATGTATGAAACATATAATAAATCTAAATCAACAGGTAATTGTACACACACACATACTATAGAAATCATATATTACACACTTGGATACAATGAACATTTTATAGATTAATCCTTTAAGCAGTGATAATTATATGCATCACCTACTTTAACACTTAATACCTCTGTATTTTGCCATCATTGTATTCATGATTTTCAGAATAAATAGCAATTGATCATTGCAATGGAAGAATAGAGGTAGGAACTATATTTTTTAACATTTAGATAAACTTAATGCTTCAAAGGTATAATAAATATATGTAAACAAAGAGAACTATATAAAGATTTATCATTAAACATTTGTATTTCAGTAAAACTATGTCTTTACTTCACACGACAATTTGAAGCCCGCCACAAATTACCACAGCTAACTACAGACCAACTGCTGTCATTATAATAATACTAGAGCAGAAACGCAACCAACCTTGTGTAAGAAACTAAACTAACCCCCCCCGAATGGTGGGTTAAAACACTTGGGTTGGTTGCGTTTTAAAATCTTAGGTAGTTAGTTTAGTGTCTCATTCAAGTGTTTTAACCCTTGAGTAAGAAACTAAACATTTCTTAAATAGTATTATGTCGCTGTTCGGAGGCGATGTGCTTCTGCTGGAGCAGTGATCATGCGACTGGCTTGGTAGTTGTTGATCTCGTTGTGAAGCGTTATTTGTTTATTCGGCATTGTTGTGTTGTATAAACAAATATAAGGTGACATTGTTGATGACGTCATTTTTTGACGACAACGGGGAATCAGAAATTTTTATAGTAGAGAGAATCTTATTCCCTACCTGTCCTGTCATGGGTGCAAAACTGTGCTGTTATATAGATACACAGAGATTGTAGTATTTAACTCTTATCGTGATCCGTGGCATAGATTACATCAACATTAATCGAGTGTATTATATTTGTTTTCGAGAATATGATGTTTTTTGAAAGTGCATAAATATCAGAATAGATAATATATCAGTACGCGTGTAGGAACAGAAGCGTAGGGGAAATTGTAAAGTTAATATTTTTGGTGGCCCAATACAGAGTTTCTAAATTATGGTAGGAATGTTGAATACAGACATTAATTTAGATATTTTAATATGTCTTTTAGTGAGGTTATGTACTAACAAACATAACCACAACAGCTATTAGCGGGTTTTAATTGTTTATTACCTTTGTTTCAGTCTGCACTTTTCAATTTCCAGAGCTTATTAACTGTGGTGTTACTACTTATATGCACTTGTGCATATGTGAAATCATTATTTCCTAGTTTGCTGGACAGAAATAAAGTAGGGTATGTATATATATTTTCTTTAAGTGTGTGGAAGGGTTCAGTAATGGGAATGGGTTTGGTACATTTACGTGGTACCGAATTCCAGTCCTTCATACAACCAAATTTTGGATATGGAAGAAATAATCCTATTTTAGCAAAATTACTAGGCTTAACACAAACCACTCTAATCCCTTTTCAATAGCTAGCCACGAAATTCTGAGTTTTACTAGGGATTTCCAAACGTAACAAACCATTACAGGGAACAGAAATACTGTGTGTTTTATATATATTGCCCCATTTCACCACAGTCCAATGCAAAACAATTCGGTTTCACTTGAGTCATTTCAGATGCTTAGTTAACTCCGCTTATGAGCTGGGACAGCCGTCAGTCCAGCGAATTGCTATGGACTGGGTGACCACGGTCTGATTGTAGGCTGTGGTATTCTTTTTGTCCTCTTGTCAAAGCAAGCTCAGTTACCCAAGCCTCCTTTCTATTCAGTAAAGGATAAAGAGCCAGACTGTGAAGCTAACCACTTGTCATTTAGTACCAAGTTAGGAATACATTGATAGATGCTGCTGCTCCCTGATTATTTTGTGGCAAGTATTCGAGGCTGGCACAAATTTTCTTTGGGAGTTTAAAATGTATTTTAATTCAGACAAAAACAGATGAAGACTTTTATTTAGACATGCCAATAAAACACGAATAATTACAGGCACAACATTAAATTTATGTTTCAGTCAATTTTTTTAAAAGTCTCTTAAATGTCTTACTAATATAATTATTTATTTCAGATTATCTGGCACATTGTGGAAGTGTGCCCGAATTGGAGAGAGGAAGAGCCCTTTTGTTGCAGTCAGTTGTTTTATGATGGCATTCAGCATTCTTTTTTGGTCATGACATATTCATGATTTTCTTGATAATTATCTGAAATGATTTAAATATATTCTTGGCTAACATGAATCATCCATTTTTAAAATAACAATGTTCTTACAATATATGCAATATTTTTGTAATGAAATTAACACAATGCATGACTGTGCAATAATTAATTTCCTAAGTACACAGGTGTATATATGTTTATAGTTTTTCATATTTTACAGTACATAGAATCAATGAATTGAAGTTTAAACATTTTGAAGATAAAATCTGATAAAACCTTTAATTGCTTATCCTCATCTATCACTGTTCCATTACAAACATGTATTCTCCAGTGTGCTTAGTATTTTAGAACCTGATAATTAAAATACCTACCTTTATTCTATAAACTACTTATATAGTATCATGGAAGAGAAGAACATACACAAATGATATTAAAACAGAACCAAGGCAACAAATTAATTTCATGAACAGAACACCTGTTTGGATTTCTGAAGGAACTTAGACATAAAGAAGGAATTAAATACATAGTCAATTGAAATTCAAAGATAAACAATTCTTGTGCACCATACACCAGACTGTACTGTTATAACAAAAAAGTAATCTAAATAAACTTATTTTTCTACAGTGTGTTCACAAAGAGATGCAAGATGAAATCCACTGCACAAACATTTCCTTTTATTTCACTTTGTTAAATACAAAAATTACATATATTCTTTAGAAAAGATGATTTATTTTTCAACATTATATAACTTGATTTGTCAGGTAGGCCCATATTTGTGTGGGCAGCACTTTCTTCCATGAGCTGCATTTATTTCTGAACACACTGAGTACATCAATAAGTGCAACATCATCCACAGAATTTTCACTTTCACTATATAAATTTAATTACCTTTATTCTGAATTGCAAATATCTAAACTTTCAGCTAGATGCTCTGGCAGAACAGGTGTTCTCTTCTTGCTATTAGTGGAAGCCTGTATGTCAATTCAGGAACTAAGGTTTGTTAGGGTCTCAAGACAGCCTTGCATTCACTATTTGAAAGCAAGCATTGGAATAAATAAACAGTATCAGACCAGGCATTTGGCACTGCAGCAATAGACATAGTTATAAATTGGCTACTTAGGTGATGGCAGTATAAAACAACCTCTGGGGATATGTATGAAATAAAGAATTCCTCAAATTTGATTGTCTGCATTGGCCAGATACAAATATGAACAAATTTATGCAGTTCTGATATACTGCCTTGGTTTTTGGATGAAAATCTTTGTGATATATATATATATATATATATGTGCAATCAGTCATAAATTAAAGTTCTCAACAATGAGTAAGTATATTTAGTCAGCAAGATGATGGTGGAGTATTTAGCTTGCCATATCACAATTGGAAATTATAAAAAACAGAAGAGAAATTTCAAATTGTCATCTTTCAGTGATCTGACTGAAAATTTTAAAAATTAGTCATGCAAAGATGGCTTCTGCAGCATATTTAGAAAACTGTCCTACCATTTCATGTTCATGTTACAACTGTTTGGGTCTTTCAGTCCACACATTCCAATCAATTTCCGGAAGATATATTAATATTATCCTTTCATCTACAACTAGGTATTCTGAGTGGTCTCTTCCCTTGTCTCCCCAGTTAAAATTTTGTATGTATTCACCAACTACCCTATGAGTGCTATATGCCCTAGCCATCTCATCCTCCTTGACTTCATTGACCTAATAACGCAGTTTTCTTCAGCTTTCTGTCACTTTATTCTATTCAGAATCCTGTTTTTGAAAACGTCAATGTTTTCTAACCTTTACACGAGATCAAATTTCACACCAACACAAAGTGACAGGCAAAGTTATAGCTCTGTTTATGTCTTCATGTTTTTGGACAGGAGAGGACAAAATATTCTAAACTGTGTGATAGTAAGCATGTCCTGTATTTAATCTGTGCTTATTTCTAAATGAATGTTTTTCTGATTTGTTACCATAATTCCCAGATATCTGAAATTTGTCTGTCACACTTTAAAAGCTATATTAGTTGCCCTTGTGTCATGATTTTGTCCTGCAGTCCTTATGTTTCCTTAATGACATTTATGTTTTCACCAAAAAATTAATATAATTAGCACAAATCAGAAGCTGGAGTATTCCATTCAGTTTCAGCCCTCTTTTGTTTTCATGGACCTTCCTAATGGAATATTTTAAAGCAATGTTGAAAAGCAATGGTGACAGAGCATCTTGTTTGAGACCATTTTGCACAGGCATCAGATAAATGTTTATCTATGCGCACTTCACTAAAGACCTTAATTATACAGTGAACAATGGGATCAATAAATTGTAAGCCTTGTAGAAGGAAGTAGTTGCGGCCTGTTTTAAAGGAAACATCCCCTTATTTGCATAAAGACGCTGAGGGCAATAATGATGTCACTCTCCATGCAAAGTCAAACCTGGTATCTCTCTAATATAAAGCAGTAATGGAAACCACTGCTCCATGACATTCAGCATTAAGGATTGTGTTACAGTCAGTTGCAGAGACAGTTTTCATAAAAAGTCCGCCTTTATTTTACATGTACTATAGTGGTGTTTCTTTCTTCTAGAAAGAACTATAAGTAACACTTGAGACACAGCACAGTAGGTAGTAGAAATATTAATACCTGGAAACTCATAAGATATTCCATACAACCCATATACATAAATATCAACTACCTATCGTCCATTAATGAAATTAAATGTAAATCTTTGCTGTACAAAATGCATGAGGTAATATGCACCAAAATATTTACATCATCACTTATAATATATTCCAAATAGCACATTCAGACCATTCACACTCTATGAAACATGAATTACAAAAACATGGTAATAAAAAAACTTTCTTCACGTGGGTAAGTATACACTACCTACCAATATTGAAGTCTTTTATGTATATAGAAGCACTAAAAATACATAGGAATCGTTTGACAGCACTGAGGCAATATTCCAAATATTTTCCTGTGTAGATTATGAACACATTACATACTTTGTTAACCATGTTGGAACCTTCCTTCTTATCAAAGAACAAAACTATAAGTGAGCATACCTGTATGTACTAAATTTGGCAGGGGAAAATGCAATGCACAGAAGCTGCTCTCTGCAATAGAAGTCTTCTTTCCTGTACACTTCACATTTGCATTCTTTGGTCCTACATAATATGGAAATGATGTATACTGCACACGGCTGATCTGTCCATACTTGTGGCAATGGAACTTCATGTAGCACTGTGGCCATAATCTCAATGAATAAATCACTTCAGTCCACCATACTGAGTACTGACCAAGTCCTTGTGTTCGCTCAAGCAACTATCTTATCATTTCCAAGTACTTCTGTTTATGTTTGCTTAACATTTCAGTAACTGTAACCAATTTCTTTATAGTGGCCTGTAAAAAAAAAAACCCATTGGATCATCAAATAATTCTCCAGTATAATGTTTTTACAAAACATAACATTCATAAGGTGAACTGGTATCGCCAGTGAATCAAACAAAACAACATGAACATAGCTGATGGTGTGGCATGCCTTCCACTGCTGCCTCCATCATCAGGGCAATGATGGAGGCAGCGAAATGTTGGTAAACTTCTACCAGACTACACGGCATAACAACCCAGAAAACGGCCATCTTCAACTAGGCATGGTAGATCTCCAAGGATTTAAGTTCAATGGCATTCCCGCTAACTTCATTTCAGTTTGTTATATATAACTGTACTCGAATAACATTTTAAGTTACATGACCTTAATGCTATGCAAAAAGACAAGATGCAAAGTAAGACATGACAAGAATATATGCAACTGAAATAAATCCCACAAGATGTGTAGAAGGTGTTGATCATAGTAACTAAGTAAAGTAAAGCTGTGCCATGTAGGCACTTCTGGGAGAGTTGTATAGCTCCTACTCATTCTTGACCTTGGCACTAGATGGGGTGAGTGGTCAGCATCACGCACCGGCTGTGCTTTACTCTGGGAAAAGTACCAGTACCCATTGGATAGGAGGCTGGGTGGGCCCCAGAACCAGTCTGGATGCAGAGGCTAGAGGAAAAATCCTCTGCCCCCATTAGGGATCAAGCCCCGGCCATCCAGTCCATAGCCAGTCACTATAGTGACTGAGCTACACCAGCTCATACACTGTATATGGACCTCATGTCATGATCTACATACAAAGAACTACACTGCTGTGGCAGTCACATGCACAAATGACATATTTGGAAAAGCAGGCCACATGTGTGTTCATAATAAATCAACACTAAAAGATGATGTATGTGACAGGAATGGTGCTTGTGTTATATTGTGTTTTTATTGCCCAACCATACATCTGACATGAAAAATAAGTTGGGATGTGTATTATTACCTGATAAATTTGGTGTGAATTCTATAGTGAATTTTACACAAAACTGTCAGTTGGAGTAGAAGACAAAATTGATAAAATATCCTCTCCATTATGCTTTTACTTTATGTACATAGTTCAAAAATACATAACACAGTAATAGCAGGTCTTACTTGAGTTTTACTGAGTGCCTGCAATTCCTTCAGGTGAGAAACACAAATGTGGTGCAATGTGCCTAGGTCACGGGCAGGATCACCTTTTATCCGTGTCTCTTCTGGTTCTGGCTTCTCTGTCAAATTCTGAAATGTTTAGTAGAAAGATGGAAAGAACAGAAGGAATACAATGATCCCATAAACATTCTAGATATATCTCTTGTAGTTGCATGTATTTAGAAAAAGCCCCCTGCCCCAAACTACTTATACATACTTAACAAGGTACTATACATTTTCCCCATAAATATTAAAGTGAGAAAATAAGCTTAGCCACTTACAATTTAAAAGCATTACAGCCTTTAGTATTACAATTCATATTATGCTTTTAACAGATTACAATGAATTATGTAAGACTTGAGGTTCTCACAGCGGTGAATTACTTACAGATAGCTGATCCAGGAATACAACCATACGTTCCTTGTTTTTAAGTATGAATGGGTTGACAACTTCCATATAGGGTTCTTTGCCCCCAAACTCAACAAGATTTGCCAAGTTTTGTAAACACTTTGCAACCATGATCAATGAGCGGGCTGCCATAGGTGGTGGTGGTTCTAAAACACATCACAGTTACAGGTACAAGAAATTAAACCCTTGAAAGCAGACTCTTTCAGCACATACACACCTGATCTACTGTTATTGCCAGTGTTGGAAAGATCTCTCAAACTCCAGAATTTCAGTTCTTTTCTTGGCTGTAACTAATGGCCATTCTTATATATAATTTCACTGCACATGCACAAACCATTATGGCAAAGAAGAAAATGCTAAACTGTGACTCAAGTACTGATGTAGCAGTCCTCAAATTACAGTACTTATTTCAAATAAATCAGTCATTTCTGTAAAATAAATGGCTACCTTGATTACTTGTGGAAGTGGTCTTTAAAAAATAATACTTTTCTCTTTCCCATTATTATCTATGATACATCTTTAATTAGTTCTACAGAAAATATGAATTGATTCACTGTTAATACAACACAATACTCAAATGAGATGGTATGTTAGCAATGCATCTTGAAGCTTTCAAATATTATATCTTTTTGTCTCACTTCCAGATTTCTGGGTGTAATTCATGTTGATGTAGCACTATTCTGTGTGTCATGTAGTTCAAGTCTCATCATGATATTACTATATAACAAACATTTTAAAAATAAAAATTATTTTTGTGAAAAACTGTGTCAATAAATGGCTGTAAAATTCAAATCTGAAAGTCCCCGGCCTCAAACCTGTTTATACATTTTTAAAGGTGTTAATAGTGATGCCATTCTTTTCTAAATAATATTTTCTACCATTTTCAGTTGAAACAAAGGCCCACCACCAGACCTTACTCTGAGCTAGTTCAATTCAATCGACATTATCATAAAATATTTCCTAAAACTCAGTTTAGTACCATCACCCATCATAATTTCTCAATTGGTGACTTCAATTATACTTTTGTATGGGCTTGCTTCTTCCAACCAAACTGTGTCCAGCTCATTAGAATTCCTTTATTTAATTACCTCTGTAATACCAGAACAGAAGGAAGGTAAAGCATGAATTTCCATGAATTTAAATATGAAATTTCTCCAGTCTCCAAATTATCAACTTACCTGAGATTAAATTAAACTGTCTTGGATGTAAGATGGCAGGACACAATAACCTAAGGAAGATGAAACCACTAACAACACGGGTCCTGACAAGCCGTTCATGAGGCCATTTTCCCATTACTGTGCGTTGTAAACAGCCACATATGTATCGTACAGTCCTGGAAGATGTATGACAGAAGAAAAGGTTATAACTTCCAAACCACTGTTAACTACTACTCACACATCTCCCCTGCTTTTAACTTCAGAATAAGAAGGCAAAAAATACACTGTTAACACCAGTACAAACTCTAATCACCAATGGTACAGCAGAATGTGTATGTTCAATCTTGCAGTCAAAGGCCAGTGGAGTATCAAACAAGAATGAAGGCCACCAGTTAAAGTTAAAGGAGATAGCACTCTGTATCTGTGTCCAAATATTTTTAGAATACTTAAACGCCAGATATTCACCTAGGGTGTTAGTATCATGTGAAAAGAAAAGTATCTTATTTCTTTATCAATATTAGGGAAGAAGAAATTTTGTAGGCAGAAATATATGAGTAAATATGGTATAATCACTAATGAAACATTAGTGGCCTAACAGCTCTATACCAATTCATTATAGTATTGTTCAATGTATCACACAAAATGTATCTCAGTAAGCCTACTTATAATAAGCCACATGGCAGCACCTGTGCTTCAGTTATGATCAGATAAACCCATTCACTGCTTGCCATTACTAGAGAACTGAGGATACTGAGCACATAATAATTCATATAGGAGAGTCAGATACCAAGAAACAAAATATAATAACAAGTGACAAGAACAGGATAAAATAGAATAATTTTATTCACCGTCTTTACACAAGCTTATAGATTGTTAAAATCACATAAAATTATAACATTTCAACATTTTGATATTGTTACATTTTAAAATGACGACATGTTTCGATGTTCATTCCATCATCGTCAGGTCTATCAATCAAAATTAAAAACTGTTGCATCTGCTGCTCTGCGTATACTGATTTTGTTCTACCCGTTAGATTTTATTTGTTTAACCTCCAGGCTTCTTCCATTTAATTTTGAGGGCTGCGCCTGGATGCCTTAAATCTGCAAAATCAATTTTATATCATACACTGTTTAAAATTCCATTAGTTTTGTTTGTATATGTAATACTTTCACTACAAAAAATTACTCATTAAATTATAACTAATCATTGAATGTGTTTATGGCACTTGATCATCATAGATTACTTGGATTAAATATGTCTTTTGTTGCAATTTCTTGTCTTACATATTTAGGTGCTGTTTGGTGTTGTACGGCTGAGGGGTGAAGAGTACCGTGTTGGAACATCAGTGTTCTTACAACCTGGATCATTCAAGTTCAAGACTTCAGGCACTGCTGCTGTAACTAAAATAGATAAAAAAGAGATTTTCTTTTGAAAACAATACGAAATCTCAATAATCCCAAGGCAATATATCATACATTTTATGTAATACAACATTTCTAAAAGACCATTCATCAATAGTCACAAATTCCTTTCAGCACAGAATAGGAAACAATTTTCTCCCTCCAAACAAAGGTGCAAAACCAAGACAAATTATGCAGCTTTCAAATTTTAAGACTAGCAATAAAAATGCAAAAATAGCTTAAATTCCTTAAAGTTACCTCAACAAAATTATAAAAGGTATGAAGGTTGGGGACTGAAACCAAGAAGATAGCTTTCGCTAAAGTAGAAAATTCTAACTTATGCAACATATTCAGATCTCCAGTTATAAGATCTATATTTTGTATGAATATTACAGATTGAGTGTCCGTTCTTACTTTGGACATGCCTCAGCCGACATGAAAATTGACAATGTAACTTCATCCAGAATCTGGAGTAGGAACTCTGCATTGGCACAGGCATCATCAGGAGACTCCATCTTGGTTGGATTTAACTGGTCATAAAATAAAAGCAAAAATAGTAACTTCTTATAAATAACAGTAACTGGAAGATGAAGACCAAGTACTGGATATGTTTTGTCTGGAGTATTCATAATGAGTAATGGTTTGAAAAAGTCTTGATACAACTGAATGTACAATCTGTACAAATAATTTACCTCACATGACTGTTTGGACTCCAACAACTTTAGGATAGTGTCCTGTATGGCAGAATGAAGAAATCCAGTACAGACGGACTTCATATATAGGTCCATAAGTGTGGTTGTCAGTGATGCTGCACGAAATAATGTTGATGTTTCCTCCTCCTTCTCGATCTCAGTCTCATTTAGTGATTTGAGCAAGTCTGCTTCCTTGCGCTCATACCTGAGAACATCACAAACAACACATTTAGTCTAACAGCCACTGTAAGTATTTGACCAAAACTTGTATGATGAAACAGAAAAACAGAAGTGAGTAAGATATCAATATCTTTCATCAATTCTGATGAATGTAAAAACACACTCTTTTCTGAAGTTTATATGATCTAATATAACGCAGAGACTTTCATCTACAAACCAAATTTGAGTACAAAGAATAGTATGTTTCTTCATATCCTTGCTTTCATGCGATCATAACAGCCAATAAAATTACCTTTAATTTTTAATTAATAAATTGATGTACCTATACCTAAATGTGTTAATTAATGTTAAAAATAAGATCAAGAAAACCTACACATTCTAGCATAAATTTACAAATAAACTTTAAATGTCTTGTGTTGCTGCGTCAAAACACCCTTCATACCTGAATATCCGTAGCAAGGAGTTTGCAAGTGGGACACGGTCAAGATGACAAATGTCAGCCAAAGCTCTAACCACTTCAAGAGAAGGGTCCAGCACAAGCTGCTGCATGGGAGAATATTCTTCCTGAGGCATTATAAGATCATGAAGATAGCGAGTCCGCAGACGAAGAGAACCCCATTCACCAATTGGAGTAATGCCAGATAGTGTGTACCACTCCTCATTCTGAAAACAGTTGCACTGATGTCATAATATGCTTTTCCTTTTGAAGTCAGCCTCTGATATTTAACAATAAGACTGTTCAACAAACTTTGTACTCACCTGCAACTGAGAACAAATTGGTGAACCATCCAGTGAGGGGATTGAAAAAGGTACAAGTGAAATAAAGTAACACTATTCACTCAGGGATTTTACAAATATATGTGCATAAAGCAAATTAGTAAGTCAGTGTTATGTAAACAGTGTCAGTTCCCTCTATTTCTTTTTTCAATAACAAACAATCTCTAGAATCTTACCTCATCTCCATTAGTTAAACTGCTGAGCTCCACTGTCAACTCAGCCACCTCTGTGTCTTTTGATCTCTTGCCTTTGTTATACACAGTCACTGTGAAAGTGAGCACGTCTGGGGGAACATCACTACAACATATAAAAAAGTAGTTCCTACAATTATCATCACATTCAAAGCATAACATATGTAAGCACTGTACTACTTACAGTTCAGAGATTTCAATCCAACATCACTGAAGGTACTTTTCACTTTGTAGGATGACCTGAAATTCACTTGTCCAATACAGTATCTCCTCAGTACACTATATTCATTGAAACAGTTTTCAATATCAATTTAAAACATATGACCATAAGACTTGAAGCTGTCAGAGAATTTAGATTATGCTCTTCTGGGTTTTGTTCCACTTAGTATTTCTTGCTGCATTCTAACATTTTGGAGGAACATACTGCCTACATCTTCAGGACTGAAGTAGGTCTATTAAGAAGTGAATGCTTAACAAAGGGCAAGGAGAAAGTTGGTGAATTGTCACAGGATGCTCCTTCATAATGCTGGTACACAGCCACAATACTACATGGTGCAACAACCCAGATCACGATTTACATTACGACAGATTACCAAAAATATAAATGGATCTAAATCTACTTACTCCAATACAAATTCTTCATCCCACACAGGATCTGGACCGGTCTTGACCTTTGTCCGAGCCACTTTGACTTGATCCAGGGAAATAATGCAGAATGGATTTGGCACCAATTTGTATGGCAGTCTGAAACAAGTATGTGTAAAAAGCAACACATTCAAATATTAACCCGTTCTTCATCCACCTACATCCCAAATGTAGGCTTTATGCAAATTAAAATATAAGGTGGTAACAAGCTATAAGACACAATATACATGGATCTCCAAGAAAGTTGTGGAATAATTTAAATCTTTGGGGCACACTATTTGAGTGGCAAACACCTAAAAAGAAATGGTCATGAAATATTTTAAGACACTATTACTTTACCTGCATGTCTTCAAAAACAGATGACATACTCCTCATGGAGAAAATATTTTTGTAACACGACATTAATACTTTCTTTACAAAGCTGAAACCCTTACCTATGTGCATCAAGTACATGGAGTTGTAGACATCTCAATTCACGTAGTCGTTGTACTTTGGGCGCCCTTGTTTGCTGCGTAACACAGAGAGGTTTAAGTGCAGCTATCCAGTCCTGAGCAGAGTCACCTGTATTTGCACACAGATAGGTTGTGGTTGCCAAGCAAGGGAGAGCACGTTCCACCAATTGGAAGCAGTGGGGTCGATCAAATACACTATCATGTACTTGGTAAAGGTATGCACAGCTTAAATCTATCAATCCTTTGGGTTTTGTGCGCTGCAACAATAGTATGTTGAATCAGACAATGACATAACAAACATATGCAGACATCTGAATTTCTCTTAATTTCCTAGTATCTAATCATTCTTCTTCACTCTTAGCTAAATTTAATATTAAGAATTAACAACAGTTCTTAAAAATCTTATTGTGTGGCATCTATTTGCATCACTATACCATCACTTCATGATCACAACCTACCACATTTTATCAGTGTATTTAGTGTAAGGATAACACTTAAATAATCATTTGCAAATAATTTTACAGTATTTTACATAGTACTGAAACCCCATATATTGTATTTCTGTCCACATATTTAACCTGTAAAAGAAATGTTTATGTCAAGATCAGGATACAGAGAAAGTGTTCCTTCTAATGTGAGTTTGAGTTACAGTTACAGTTTTGTATTCACTTAAAGAGAAATATTAATATCAATCTACATACCTTTGGATTGTCATAAAAATATAAATGTGTATCAGTCCCATCTACTAGAAGAACAAAGTACATAGACTTCCATTTCTTATTTTTTTCACTTTTCTTGTTCAAGTACCCTTGCATCTTAATACCTAAAACAGAGATTAAGGTTGCTATTTCTTTGAGTTACAATGCATATACTAAATGAGTCTATAACGTCATTCAAAGGTTAAATTTGTGATGTCAGTGATCAGCCTTCAAGTTCTAACTGCCAAACAGTTTTACAATTTTGCATAAGAGAGAATTAAATTCACATAATGAAGGTGACAGAACAGGACTATGCAAAAATTCTGTATCTTTCTTACCTTTGTTTTTCTTTACACCAGACTGTTCCCGGCATTCTCGAAGGGTTGCATAGATTTTCTCTGCATGCTGAACCTCTTTTGATTTAACAGTTCCATCACCTTCAGTCATAGACTATATAGTACAGAAACATTATTTGAGAAAGGTAAAGTCATATGGTGATTATGCAAAGTCTGTATATTATCAATGATAGGCATTTCCTCTTTTGCTTATCGACAGTTCAAGGCTAAACAAACCATGCAGTGGTACTCTTTTACCCAACTGTGTTAAAAGTTACTGTAACCAGGTAATACAATATTATAATGGGTATTACTACATTAGTAAAAAGGCAGCAGATAAAGATGAAAGAAACAATTCTTCTCCTGTTGAAACATGAACAAATGCATGTATATTTTGTAATGTCATATTCATATGCCAACCAGACTTCATAAGAAAAATGATGGTGCCAAATGTATATTTTTGAGTGAGTAGAAAGTAAGTACATAAATTTACATCAAGCTATTAAATGTCCATATTAAGCTACTTACACGACCAACAGCCAACACTAAGGTGTGTCCCTCTACTATCTGTTCTTTCTTGTACCTATTAATAACGGCATCCAAACATTCAAATGTCCGTCCACCCATGAGGTAGCGAACACCTTTTTTCTCGATACGGAATCGCTGAATTTGGTTGTTAATGTGGAAAAAGAGGGAATAGTCACCAGGAGAGTTGTCACTTGGACGTACAAGAAAACTGCCTGGACCAGCTAAAAATAAAACATTAAATAATAAAATATTAACATTAATATTCATAAAATTACAACATAACAATTTGAAATAAAAAATAAATTTGTCATGAGACTTTAGAGCCATAAATTGTATTACATTACCTCAACCCCTATGCATGTTTGAGATGTGTATGGTAAAAATCATTATCAATTCAGGCTGTGTAGAATCTACTTTACACTTCAAATTACCTTTAACCAACATGTCTACAGCTTCACTCTTTGTCACATTTGGATGAAACCAGCTGAACACAGTATTTGGATCAATATTCTCATCAAGGTCATCTACAAGGTCACGGAAGATCATTCCTTGCTCTCCAGTGCGATGTGCTGTCACCCACAGCCATCCATCTCCCATATCATTATGCACGAAGAAAATATCACCCTTCTGGAAGCTGCATGATACATTACGTTACATCTCTTATATTTAATGAAAGAAACACCAAGAATTTGTTTACAAATATCAGAATATGAAATAGTATCTGGAATGTAATTATGTGTGGCTAAATCAATGTCAATGTTCAGGATCTGTGAAAGTTCATTACCATAGCAGTCCAATATTTGATGTTAATGCTAACTACATGTAAGAGAATTCAACAATATTATTTTTAAAGAGTTTGCCAAATGTTTTTAGCAGGTGTGGATGATTTACTGGAAAAATCATATGCAGAATGTCCTAAAAAGATGTATATACACACATTCAATGGAACTCAATCAACCCTCCACCATTTTACATATTTGAATCTTGGGAAAAAATACTGCAGTGACATCCGTTAAGTGCAGACTAAACTAGGATCAATAACAAAGTTATTATTCTATGTTATAATGTGTATATATATTTTTGGGACATACTATACATAACTTGTGTGGCACACTGGTAAGTATGTTTGCAGTATAACATGTTATAATGGGGCATGTTTGGTTAGGCAATATGTCTGTTTTCAAAATACAGTACAGTGATTTTAAATCTTCATACACAAGATTTTATTGTTTTACCAAGCTCAAAATGTAATGCCCACTCAATATGCAGCAAATTCTTTTGGCTGCCACCCAGAAATATAGGACAATTACTTTCTCAATGTCATTATATATATATATATATATATAATACTACCAATCAGTAATCTGCAACAATCTGATTCTATAGAAACAAATAATTTATTTGACGCTCACAGTTCAAGACTACACTTAAAACAAAAAATTTACATAACATTACCTGTATATTTTTTACTTTCCCTCACCTTCCTTAATTTATATTAAATCATTTAACCATCCATCTTCTTCCTTTTGGATGGGATATTATGCATCTATTTTAACTGAAGAATGTCTACATCAAATGTTCCTACAAAGATAAATAGATCAATTCACTGAAACTCAATATTCACAATTAAGAAACAGATTACACATTTAAACATTACCTAAGTTCATCAGTATCTGGCATTTTAGTGTATGGTAAAATGGCAACTATCCGTTTCTTGTCATTGACAGGTTCTGGTGGAGGAACTGGATGAATTAAACGTTCACGTTTCAACAAGTCTGAGCAACTTGTATAATATCCTATGAGATCTGATAAAGAATCAAACTGCCTCCCACCAATGTAAAAGTCACCACATACTGCAGTTATTCTGAAAATAAATAAATGGGTGCCTTTAGTTTCCATACATTTTCTAAATAAAGAAAAAATCTGCATTATGCCGACAGAGTGTATTCATTTGTTCAATATGTTTCTTAGCATAAACAGTGACTATTTCCTTAAAAAGCATTAACCAATTTATCTTTGTAATACAGTTGGGTTGATTTCAGGTAAATTAATTTTTTAAATATTATTTAAATAAACTTTAGCTTCAAAGGGCTAAACCAACTCATCATTATTACCAATATAATTAGATGTTATTTTATCATGCCAACCAATGTAGTTACATTTTGTGGACCCTTCAGTTTTACTTGAATCATGGCAAGAAAACAAATCTTAACTGAAGCGCACGAATATGTCCAAAATAACATCACACGATAACGATAAACTGAACCATGCACTGCTACTTCATATCTTATAGACAGTTGTCAAATGATACAATAAATAAAACCATTGGGCAAAGCTTACCTGAAGTGATTTATCCCTGTCTTTCCTAGGTAAGATAAGACGTATGACCCCGGTTTCCTGTCACTTTCGCGAACCAAGTAACTCCCCATTTTTGCCGCTTGCCACAAACGTTCTTCTGCTGTGTAACGGTCTAAACGTCCATGATACCACCTACAATGGAAGTAAAATATGTAAAACACTTAACAATTATACACATTTCCAGTCTAGCAGCTAAAAGTCAAACCGTCAATTTAAAGACCTCCACCCCCCTGGGGAAAAGAACACCACAAAAGAACGATGATTCACTCACTGATTTTCTGGGGGAGCAATAATTGCTGAAACATTGGCTCCATCCGCTTCTTCTGCATCTGCCAAAAAGGGATCGAACTCTTCTCCGATAGCACCATCATGTCCTTCGTCACTCCCAGTACTGGGCGAACCTTGGAGTTTTTCTTTTGGCATAATAATACCAGTTACAGGTCCACCCCTCACAAACTCAGCCATCTTGGCTTCAACCACAGATCGACCCAACCTCTCTATCGCAAGACCTATTTAATTTATATGCAGTATTTCATATGCACTTCCTGCTTCCTCAATTTCTGGTAAAAATCTTAACCTAGTATACTAGAAATCATTAAATTTGAAAAATCTATTTCACACAATCAGTGACAACAGACTTAAGGAAAATGAAAGAAATTAAACAAATTAGTGTAATACGGCTCGACGATATTATCGATGCAATTTTATAATCGATTACATCGATGTCATATTATGTTGCACGCACATATTACAGATGATACAATGCAGACGTTTTAAGGTTATGTAGTTTATCTGTGGTATGTTACGATTTAGTATTGGCGCGAAATACGTATAATATGATGCATAATTTCATATCACAAAAAATTTGGCAAACGGTATGGGAAACACCAAAGAAGCAGAACTTAGAAGTAAGCTAAGTCAACACGTGTACTTAATTACTCTCTTGAATATAATGTTATAGAAGACCTAGATGTTAGAATTTGTATGCAATGTATTTCAGGTATGTTTCAAGAGTATGCTGTTCTTCACCATAAAGATGAGCTGCTAGGTATTATGAGAGCTGACAACGAAATTAAACATTACTCTGTCACAGTAAAGTAAGTATGACAATACAGTAGGTGTAAGTGCATTACAGTTTGGATTCTCCTAAGCAAAACTAACCTAACCAGGAAGGAAAAATTCTTACAAAATGGCTAAACAAAATTTGCAAACATAATGTATCACAGACTGCTCATGTTTATCAAGAACATAATATGGCTGCTTTTAAAATGTTTCTCCCTGAATGTATTTATAAGTGGCCTTTCACCTTGAAAAAAATATTAGCAAGGAGTTGAAGTTCTCACAAGGAAGGGTTCATGAAAGGACAAATATTGGAATGAAGTCTTGATCATTCCTTTGGTGCTGGAAACTGATATATAAGCTTGTAAATTTTCATAACTTCTGCACATCCGCTTCCTAAAATATACATTATGGTGACCCCACTTAAGCCTCTTTTGTTCTTACAATGTTTCGTATACTTGCACTATTTAGTATGCACTTGTAAAAGCATTCTTAAAAAAAGTAATTTCTCATGTTTTTTGACAAATTTTTATTTCACCAAGGTGTGGTATATTATGCTTGATACTGATGTAAAATATGTAGTCATTATGTGATGTATAATTTTATATAACAGTTAAGTTGGTTTAATTTAATTGAATTAAGTATGCACTGTGTTAATTAGAAGTAGGAAGTATAAATAAAACATGAAGTTTGTCAGGAATAATGTGGATGCATGCAAACAGGAACAAGTATGTGGTTCCTGTGTTGTAATATGTTCTGTAGTGTCTATACAGTTTATCTTCTTTCTGTTTCCTTACAGTTTTGTTACTTTATTTGAAATAAGTACACAACTAGGAGGTGAAATCTTACTGAATTCGAATCACATACTGCCCATATGTGATGAAGCTTTGGTACAAGCTCAAAGAAATCTGCTGGAAACAGAGGCTGCAAATAGTTTATATAAATATGCTGTTAAACTGAACATCCATGCTCGGATGACTGGTAGGTAAAGCAACTTATCATAGATACTGTAGCAAGTTATGAAACTATGTAATGCACTTATAGGTGTGTGTATATACGTATATTAATAATCTTAATATTATAGCTCTTCCAGTATGTCCTGAACTTCATCGCACAATATTCCCAAGAAATGAGGATGTTGGCAGTTTCCTAAGAGTGTCTGGTACTATAGTGAGAATTACAACTTCTAAGATGCTAGAGTTTCAGCGTGATTATGAATGTGCCAAGTGCAAGTACACACAAACAGTTAAGGTAATACTAAGACTGTAATGTCATTACAATTCAGGAAGAATTTTATTGTATTATTGAATAACAATGTTAGAAGAAAATAATAGAGAATCTGGTGGCAAAACCTCATGGAAAGGTATAAGGAGCCTGGAGGATAGAATTATGATGGATTTTAGGGAAATATGTTGTGAGGATGAGAGGTGCATTGGATTGACTTTCGATCAAGTGTAAGGGTAAGCTTTGTCAGCAGAGATAGCAAAAGACAAATATACATTCTATATTTTGGCAAAGACAGTGAGGTTTATTAATGTAATCAGTGATTGGAACATATTTAAAGTTAGGAAGTGAAATAAAATTAAAAGGAAAGGGATGATTAGTAATGTCCATATGGTGATGGTCAAATGTAAGTTAAGAATTATGTTTGTTGCCCAATCCACTTACAATCTGCTTCAGCTGTACATTATTTCTAATTGTTTTTTATTTTTTCCTCAGGCTGACTATGAACAATATTACATTCTATTCAGTCCTACTCATTGCTCCAACCCAGAAAGCTGTCAAGGAACAAATATTCACCCTGTTGTAACAGCTGGTAATTTTAATTATAAAGATTACCAGGAAATTAAGATTCAGGTTTGTTATATTTGCTTTTCATTTGCTGTTTTTGAGTATGTGACTCATGATTTCAAATGTATACCATGGCACGAAACAGTAACAGACCACATGGCATAATGCCTGAATTGAGGATGATGATTAGGACTTGAGGTTCTTATGGCAGTGAGTATGAAATTGACTGTCCTTTGGGTTGTAGCACTGTGTATTCTGGTACAAGTTAACCATTGTTTCAGAGGTCCTTGCTGCCTTCATCATCAGAGCAATAACTCATCGCTCATTGCCCTGATGATGGAGGCAGCAAGGACCTCTGTACATGGTGCTACAACCCAGAAGACAGCTATCTTCAGAGTTCAGTTGAATTTCAATTGCTTCCAACTCTGGGAACTTCAACAGAGACATCACTCTGCACACCAAGTCCTAATGGCTAATGTGCAATAACATGGAACTGGGTCAGGTATACACAGAGCACAGATGATATCTCCTACAACTACAGTGCCATGAGGATGAGGCCAAAGATGGTTCTCAAAACAGCGTTTTCTCCATTAAACTAATGTATGGCTGGTAGCCCGAGAAGATTTCATTCTACTTAGTTGCCATGAAAGCTTCAGATCATACATCTCCATATACACTTACAGTACTGTAAACATACCAATATTATGTTGGACATTGACAGTATACTAACAATATAATGCAAGTAGAGCCCACTTCTGAAACACTGTATGTATACACACCCAAAACAATGTACAATGTTCAACATAAATATTGATACAATAAATAAACCACTGTGACAAATCTGGAGAATCAAAACAATTGTGATGGTAAGAGACTTCATCTGGTGTGAATGAAGGATCTGACAATCAGAAATGGAATTACACATGTAATTACCACCTTACCTTTATACAGGGTGAGTCAGAAGTATGTTTACAAACTTCGTGTGCGTGTTCCAGGATCAAAAATAAGAAAAAATGTTCCTATGAACATGGGGTCGCAAATGCTTCTTTTTTGAAATAATAGCCAAAAATAATTTTCAATGTATGCCTTTATTGCCAAGTATAAGGACAGGGATGTTTCTTTATAACAGATGCTCAAAGGTTGTTCCTCCATTCTCCACACATGCACGAGCACGACATGCACAAGACTGACGAATTCGTTCGTACGCACTAGCGTTACCTCGAATCATCTGGCATGCATTTTGCACACGTTCCCATAGGTCATCATCAATGTTTATGGGTGTTGCATAAATGACAGACTTCAAGTGACCCCACAGATAAAAGTCCAATGGAGTCAGGTCCGGTAACCTCGGTGGCCATGCTACTGGGCCACCACGCCCAATCCATCGCTGAGGGTACTGTTCATTGAGATGATCTCTGACGCGATGGGAGAAGTGTGCTGGGGCTCTGTTGTGCATAAACCACATTTGTCTTCTTATATTCCGTGGTACATCTTCAAGGAGACGTGGCAAGTGTCTTCTTAAGAATCGCCGATATGAAGGTCCTGTTAGACGCGATGAAAGCATGTGTGGATCAATAAACATGTTGCCAACAATTCCTGCCCAAAAGTTAATTGAAAATCTTTGCTGGAAGCTGGATTCACTTTGACATAATGTCAATTCATTGAAACTTATTTTTGGCTATTATTTCGAAAATTAAACATTTGCGACCCCATGTCCATACAAACATTTTTTCTTATTTTTGATCCTGGAACATGCACACGAAGTTTGTAAACATAGTTATGACTCACCCTGTATTGAAGAGAATTCAGTTCTTAGGCATCCTGGTTGTTTGATCTTACAAATAACTTAATTTAAAACAGAAACATGAAACAGTATTGGAGACTTGCTTCAAGATTCATCCTGAGTAGAAGATGCAGAATAAGTCTTGGTTGTCAGGGACTACTTTTCACTGTTTACATTCCTTCCTCATAAAGAAAATAACCTGAAAGAAACAATTTGAAAAATTATGTTGCAGGAACAAGTAACTAAGCTGAAAATGGGAACCATTCCAAGGTCAATGTGGATCACTCTTGAGGATGATCTGGTTGATTCTTGCAAGCCTGGAGATGATGTTGTTATCTGGTCAGTTTTATTGTGAAGTACTCTTAGGACCTTTTTATAACATTTTATAAAGTACACATTGTATCCATCCACATGCAGTGAACCACTCTTGCTGTGACTTAGTACATAGAGTTCTTAATAAAATTGATCAATAAATCTGAATTTTGGTCAAGATTTTAATAAAGGCTAAATGTCCTACACTTTAATAGTGTAAAATTAAAAATATTTCAAGCGTGAGTTCTAGCCACTAAACGAGATATTTGTATTACAAATTCTCTTCATACAGTGCGTTTTTTTTTTTAAAATAATGGATGTCAAATACTAAAGCAGACTTCATGGATATATTTATGCTATACACACCTCCGTTATGTGCTGTTAGTCAACATAGTTTGTCATGTACTGATGGTCAATTGCTGTAAAGTGCCACTTCTTTCCTTGTTTTCAGTGGCACAGTTATGAGGCGTTGGAGGCGTATGTCTGATGGTAATCGAAGTGACATTGAACTGGTGCTGAAAGCCAATCATCTGCAAGTATGTAACGACCAATGTTCAGCAGTGTTGGTAACCAGTGAAACTCGTGATGAATTTTCCAAATACTGGGACACTCATTCACAACAGCCTTTGGTAGCACGGAATCATATTTTGGCATCTATATGTCCTCAGGTATATTTTATATGCACATATTTTTACCACTTAGGCTGAAGTTTGGCAGGATGAAGAAGGATGCCATCATGCCTTATTTTAAACTTACACAAATGTTTTATATATAATATCTTTTTTCATTGCATTCAGTTCACAGTTTCGATAGCTATTTTGTTTCCAAAGTAAAACTGAAACATAATATGATATGCTGCAGCAACATACATGGGTCTCTTCACTTTTGACTTGAAGTTGGAGGCATTACATTCTTTTAAAACATTGGAAGTTTCTTCTGTAACATGGTACTACAACCCAACACACAAAAACAATTTTTATGCAAAAATAATAGATATATTAAAAAGCTACACTACATTATTATATTAGAAATACGGAAGTTGTCATGAAATTGAATGGAAAGTCTATTTTGTTGAGTTACATTGTAATTTTTTCATAATAAAAATGCAGATAATTTTTTTTAAAAGTCCATTTTCATACAGTACTTCAAAATTTTACACTGAAAGGCATAACTGATTCTGTCATGTGGCTGCAACATTATCCTTTGAAGACTGGTATTAAAGAGTCATAGCAGGTGGGTTGGCAATGGTATGAGCTTCATAATGGGTTTAATAAAAGTTGCCATCTGGTTTAAGCATTAAAAGCTGAGGAATAATATAAACACAGATATAAGCAATCCCATCTGAACAGAAACAGAACCCAAAAATAAGGAAACAAATCACTAGGTTACTTGTTATTGCACTTGCTACAGTTCAAACCACTTTTGCTATAATTTAACACAAACCATCATCTGTTTGACAAGTTTACAGATGTCCTTTCTAGAATTAGCATAGTGAAAATAATGTTTGCAGGTATATGGACTTTATCTGGTAAAGCTTGCTCTAGCTGTTGTGTTATGTGGAGGTGTACAGAAGGTGGATAAATCAGGGTGTCGGGTTCGTGGAGAATCTCACCTGCTGCTGGTTGGTGATCCAGGAACAGGAAAGTCCCACCTTCTGCGCTTTGTGTCCAGGGTTTGTCCGCGATCAGTGCTGACCACTGGTGTGGGGTGTACTTCTGCAGGATTGACTGTTACTGCAGTTAGGGTATGAGAGAGACTGAAATGAAATAATTACTAATAAAATCTCAAATCTTACGAATAAGTACTATATGTAATTTTAATTATCAACATTTGCTTAAATGCTTAATTTATTTTAAAAGAAGAAAAAACACAGACTCATCTCAGAGTACATGACACAGACCTGAAATGTTCTATCAGTGATATTCCACTAAATACTGAAATTAATCCTGGAATTACTTATTGTGCATGTTTCTCTGTTTGTTTTTAATTTTGTACTTCTTAGGTTAAAATATTTTTATCAGCACTGGTTTTGAATGCTTTCAATTTATATTTTTCTCTTACAACCATATAAAATTGGGAAAAATAACTATTTTGTATATTTTATTATTTAAAATTTTGGTAAACATCAGTTTTGAACTGAATAGTAATAGGCATTTCCTGAATATATTCTCTTCCATTGCACTTCATATGAGGAAAGATTTTAGCTATGCAAATCTGTAAAGGTTAATGGTGCCAATTTTTTTTACAAATGTGTGGATTTCATTAATAAATCAGAAGGGTCTAGAGGTCATTAAGAATTTATAAACTTTGAAATCATTCAGTTTGTGTTTCTCATTACAGGAAAATGGAGAATGGCAGCTAGAAGCTGGTGCCTTAGTTTTATCTGATGGTGGCATCTGCTGCATAGATGAATTCAACTCAATTCGAGAACATGATCGTACAAGCATTCATGAAGCAATGGAGCAACAAACAATAAGTGTTGCCAAAGTCAGTAAGGCTGCAAAATAAGAATTTTTAGATGCATTACTGTTTAGTTACAGAAATATGCATAAACTGTGCGTTATAGAAAAATTACATTTTGTGAAATTTTAGAAAATTAATATGTTGAGATGGGGATTTAAAGATATGAAAGAAAGACATGTGTGTAAGTGGAATAATTTACAGGCACTTTGACAGAATATACTGAGTCATGGAGTACTGAGACAAAATGAACAGAAACACCTGATGTAATCTTTAAGGACCCTTGGATAGATCCATGATTAGACATACACAAACACTACTTTCATGCACTGAGCAATATGCTAGCAAGGCATAAAAATGTAACATGACTTTTTATATACATATAAAAAAGTGGACACAAGATATATCTGGCACACCCTTTTCACCTAATATTTAACTTTCTTTTGATATGATTACACTGCCATATTTCCAAATCCAAAATGTTCTCTTTCCATCACTTTCATATCTTGATGCAATGTCTCATGGATTCATATACAGCAAGTGTATGTTTCACTATGCAAAATTAATAATTTTATGACTATTCACAAGCATATAAGTTGACACTTATTTTTGTTGTCTTAAGATGGTTGTTTTTGTCCCACGCCGTAGCCGCGCGGTCTGAGGCATCATGCTTCGGACCAGTGATATGGAATGCGCACTGGTTCGAGTCTCGGGGTAGAAGAAATTTTCTCATGAGCTTTCGACCAGTGTATGGGACCGGTGCCAACCCAGCATCGTGAGGAAATTGGGGAGCTACAATGAGTAGCATAATCCGGTCAGGAAAGCTAGCAATGGCTGGGGGTTCGTCGTGCTGACCACACGTCACTCTGTATCTGGTTGTATGATCGTTCACCTCTGCTCAGGCATGTGAACGTGAGGCCAGCAGCCAGCTAGTCGGCTTTGGCTCTCTGGAGCTGTTACGCCACGGATTTAATTTAATTTAAGATGGTTGTTTTAAAACTGATATAAAAGATCTCATTTTCAGGCGGGACTAGTGTGCAAGTTAAACACACGATGTACAATCTTGGCTGCCACCAATCCCAAAGGTTGTTATGACCCTACTCATCCACTTACTGTGAACATAGCCTTAGCTAGTCCATTGCTAAGTCGTTTTGATCTTGTTCTGATTCTTGTTGATTCTCGAAATGAAGACTGGGACAGGTAAGAATTAGTAAACCATGTCAATTCTCTAAACAGAACCATGTATTAAACTAAATGAATATTTAGATGTTTATATAGTTTCATGCTCCATAAACATGTACTGGAAGATTTATGAATGCTAAGATAAATATGAAGTGATAAGTGGTGAATCAGTGATGGACACAACATGCATCATGCATGAGGGAGAGAAGACATGCACAGAATTTGGACTGGAAATCCTCACAAAAAGATACCACTTCAGAGAATAAGGCTCAAATGTAAGAATAAAATCAAATCTTTCAAGGTCATTGGCTTAAGATGGAATCTGATAACAGAGAGATAAACCTAGTTTCCATAACAAAGAATGCCTTCAACTCAGCAAATGCTGATGGAATACTCTGTGTCTGGAAGTTGTTAGTTACCATCCCAGGATTAACTTGGACAGCCTGAAAGAAAATTAATAGACTGTTAGTCAAGTTAGGAACTCACTGGCAATCAAATTGAGATTTTTTTACTTTTCTGGTGTTTTGGACACATACCTCATAATTCACCAAGGTCACGTATTTATTCTATAATTCTACTGGATACACAATTCACAGTCATTTTAACTTTAATTTGTATATAATAAAAATACAGGCTTTAATTTGTTAGAAATGTGTGATCACTAACTTTTCAAATCTAACATAAAATCTGAATCTAATTTGAGTTCTGTTTGTGACTTAATATATCAGAGGTATGCAAACTTTCCTTAAACAAAATAATCAAAAGTTTGTGAGCCAAAAAGTATGATCCACGGGCCATAGGACGTACATGTATGCAGTACACAAATATTTTAAAATGGTTGAGGCAACATTTTCAAAAGTTTTTAACAAAGTGTAACTAAAAAAAGACTGTGTGGTTTATAATATCCTACAATTGTATTAGAATAATGAACCCCAGAAAGCATCAGAAATTATACTGTTCATACTGACCTTAGGGGCAGAAATAGCAGTTGGATGCCCAGGTTTTGATTCACAATAGGGACAGGAATTTTTCTCTTTGCAGACTGGCCCTGGGGTCACTTTTATGTGAAGCAGGGGTCTTCAAGGTGTGGAGCTTTACATCTATATTAGTTAAGTGTATTCTTGGTGTGGTGCTTTAGCACTAAGGAAGATCTGATGTGCTTTATTTATGTGGATTGAAAATGTTATGCACTGAATAACAAGGCTCTATTATGTATTCCTTCACATTACTATGACTTTTGTCATTTAATTTCTTTTATAGGTTTGTTTCTGGCTTCATCCTGCAGGGTAAAGATCCAATAAAAGAATATGAAAATGAAAGAGAACCTGTAGCATTATGGGGAATTGAGAAGTTACAAGCCTACTTCAGCATTGTCAAAACTCTTAATCCAGTATTTACTGAAGATGCTACACTTGTTCTACGACGGTATTATCAAGTCCAAAGACAGACTGACTGTCGAAATGCAGCCCGCACCACTGTAAGACTTCTTGAAAGTTTGGTCAGGTATGTATAATATAGTTCTACATGTAATACATTTAAGACCCCATTATAATGAGCCCATATGTAACAGTAATATCTGATAATCAATTTAACATGAGAGTAACTGGACAGTTTAAGAAGTTTAGTTCATACACATTTTGCTCTTAAATTATAATGCAATGAGGTATATACATGATTGTATATATTGTTAATAACAATGGTTGCTTATAAAAGTAACTTTACATCAGCTGCAATGAAACAGATGGGCATTAATTTCACTTCATTTTCACCTGATCTCTCATCAAGCATTCTAATGATATGACTCCTTCAAGAAAATTTCTTACAGAATTTGTAAAATAATGAAACAGAAGAGAACAGGAGAAGATAAAAATAAACTGATCATAACAACTCAGGAATATAACTTTAAAATGCAAAATCACAAATATCCCGAAACATTTATAACAATGCACGTGTCATAACTGGTGATAAAAATAACATTAAAGGTGCAAATAAAATTAATGAAGTTTCTCATGTATACTTGCATCTTGATATGAAATGATTAAGTGAGAGCGGATAGACAGACATTCTCAAAGACATGGGACTTTCACAAACATTTAATTTCTTATAGAAAAAAGAGTTGTTTGCATAGCCTGAAAATCACTGAATTTATTCTACTGGTTTTTTGATTCTGCTCTAAAAGCAGAGAACTTAAATTATTAGCATTATTCATCCTCCTGCTCTATCTTACTAATAAAACTAAAATTAAGTAGTGATATTACCACTGTTTGTAGATTATCTCAAGCCCATGCTCGTCTTATGTTCCGGGAGAAAGTGACAGTCCAGGACGCTATTGTTGCTGTATCACTAGTTGAATCTTCAATGCAAGGATCTGCAATTATTGGTGGCATTGATGCTCTTCATACATCATTTCCAAATAACCCAATGGAGGAATACAGAGTACAGGGTAAGGCAGCCCACCAAAGGAATTAATTTTTATTACTGTAGTCCTTGAGATAGAAATTTCATATGAAAATATAAACCCTTCATCATCACATACAAAATCACAGTTCTGAAAAAGAGTATATGAAATGTGTCTATCTCTCTTTCATCTCACTTTAACTGACACATCAATAGGTATGCTATTTAAAGGTAATATTAAAGGAGACAAGTTTTATATTTGTAAAAATGTTTTAAATTTTATTCATAACTCTAATGGTGAATCCAAGTAAGATGCACGATTGTTTGATAATTTAAGACATAAATGCACTTTAATAGTATGGAAAAACTGTTCTTAATTTCAGTGGAGTCAGTGTTGCAGAAACTACAACTTAATGAAATTTTAGATAAAGAAGTGGCATTGCTACACACACTAAATTCACAAATCAGAGGAAAGATCAACAGGGACAAGCCCAGGTTTACATCAGGTACTGAGAAAACACCGATCAGCGCTTCAATGCAGTGCAATACAGGATCAAATGAAGGAGTTACAAACATTTCCAGTAGTTCTGGTCCAAGACTTGAGACCCTGGAACTTTCCAAAATAAGTGATACTGTATCTAATCTTCCAGCTCTCTCAGAAAAACTGAACAGTACTTTGATTAACATTCGGAAAATCAGAGACAGAAATACTTGTGAAGTTGCTGAATACCAACGTGAAGCTGCAAAAAGAAAAACTACTGTAAAGGACAGAAATCGGAAAAGAAAAGTCGGGGTAACTTCAAGTAGCAGTGAAGCAATGAAGGTGGAAAGTGACACAGGTATAGATAATTTAAAAAAGAAAACAAGAATGAATGCAATGACAAAAAAGAATGTTCAGGGCATGAAAATATATAACACCAAACACAACCTAGTATCAGTGACATCATCAGCTAAAACTCAATCCAGTGAAAAACTTAAAGAGTCAGATTATCTGAAACAAAGGTTCTCATTCAGAATCAACCCCCCTCAAAAGACAGCAAGCATTGTACATGATATGGAGACATTCACTGCAGTTAAAAGTGATGATGCTTCATGTAATCAGCACACACACTCACCTGCCAAAATGTCATCAAGCACCTTTCAAAAGTTGCAACAATTCAAAAGGACCTATTCAGATATTCACAGTGTGTCTCAAAACATATCAGAAAGTAAGGAAAGTTTTAGACCAATGAGTGAAGTACCAAACTCCAGAAAAGATAGAAATACTGATGGATTTATCAAAGAATTTGAATCATTTAATGACCTTGTTACCTGTGGAAAAAAGTTGTCTGATTCTCAGCAGTCATCAGGTAGTGGTTTGGGCAATAATGATGGCTTGATATCTTTAGACAGAAATGTGTCAAAATTATTTCTAAATGTCCCAAAAGTATTTAGTACAGGTGATGACATTGAAGATTTGGATTTTGAGATATAATAAAGAATGTAACTTAAGATTCAGGTACACTACTTTGACTGTACTGATGATATGGACAAATTAAATAATGACTGCACAACTAATGTATTGATGGAATTTCCAAAATTTGAAGAGAGAGAAAATGTAATATTCTTTTGAAAAACTAACACAAATAACTCGGTTTACCATCCCACTTCCAAGTAGAAATTAAATTAATACTACAAATAATTCCATAACTAAAATTGTGATATAAAAAGCCATTCTTACATATGTAAATTGATTGTACAGAAAGGGAGAAGATTTTACATGGATGCCAGTACCAGATATTTTATTCATACTTTGAACTTTCTCCATGAGGTCATTCATAACATGTATGAAATATCATGTGTCACTGGGATCTCTTGTTCTGATAGGTTACTTCTTTCTCTGTTACTGAATTAACATACATAAACACATATGTAGTTTTTACCTTGAATCACAATTGATTCATATAATATTACAAGCTGCTATAATACACAGATAACAAAATAACAATTCTGATCATTAATTTGCACTAACATTGTTCTTTGCTATCCATGACAGGACTAAATAAACAATTTTTTATTTTCATACCTGAGCAACACATAATACCCCCTTTCACTCAGCAAATTCTTATTTTAACAAATGTTTAGTTCATTATAAGTGATATTTCAGTGTTGCAAACCCTAAGTATACAAAAGGAAAATAGGAAATCTATCACTATAATATGTTTTAATGCACACGGGTTATATAGTGTGTCCACAAAGTCCCTTTGGGGTTTTGAAAAATTGTGGCATGCAAACAAATTGAGCTAGCCACATGCGGTTTAAGGCAGATTACAGTTAAACTCTGGAAGTTTTTTACTGACCTCAGTAGACCTCGATGTGGGCTCCCTTGGTAGCACTGAGAACGTCCAGACGATATTCAAGCTCTTGCCATGTTCTGTGGAGCATGTCTGCTGGAATATCCGAGATCGCATTCCTGATACGGGTCTTGAGGTCATCAAGTCCGTTAACTGGTGTTCAGAACACATCACTCTTGACATAACCCCACAGGAAAAAATATGTCTGGTGAATGTGTAGGCCAAGGCATTGGACAGTCTCTGCCGATCCATCTTCCTGCAAATGTCCTGTCTAGGTACGCGCGTACCTGCAGACCCCAATGAGGTGGAGCACCATCTTGTTGCAGAATGATGTGTGGCTGTAAGTGCTCAATTTGTGGTACTGCATACAGTTCCAGCATGTCCAGGCAGGTGTTCATGTTTCCAGGAAGACTGATCAGCCGAGACGGTCCCATGCCTTGGACTCCACATTCACAAGACATAACACCAATGGATTTTTTCCTGTGAGGTTATGTCAAGAGCAATGTGTTCCAAACACCAGTTAACGGACTTGATGAACAGAAGACCCGTATCAGGAATGCAATCTCGGCTATTCCAGCGGACATGCTCCACAGAACATGGCAAGAGCTCGAATATCGTCTGGACGTTCTCCGTGCTACCAAGGGAGCCCACATCAAGGTCTACTGAGGTCAGTAAAAAGCTTCCAGAGTTTCACTGTAATCTGCCACAAACCGCATGTGGCTACCTCAATTTGTTTGTGCGCCACAATTTTTCAAAACCCCGAAGGGACTTTGTAGACACACTGTAGATTAGACGTATCTAATTAAAAAAATACTCTAACTTAAAAGGAAAAGTGTTTTGTAGAAAATATGACAGCTGATGACACATCAATTATAAATTTCTCAGTATGAAGACAAGTTAGTTACCTCACATTTTGTTGCCAAGTCACTATGCTTCTTAATGTACAGTATTTTCCTTGAAGCTACAATTATGTATTTGACAATAACACTAACACTATGAAGAAAATTATGTCAATTCATGGAGATTTAGAATATACAATATTATGATGTAATAGAATTGTATCTTTCTTCAATACGAAAAACAATTAATACTAGACTTAAGAAAATAAAACACTGGTATGGTCACTGGCTTCTTACTTGAGCCATCCACTGCAGTGTCCAGCCATACTCAATCCTATAATAAATTTAATAATTTGCATTAGGACACAAAAAAACTTTTTTTACTCCTTTATCTGATATAAAATAGATGAGCTTCAGTTGTAATTTGTTATAGGAATTTTACAAGATTATATTATAATTACTGACTTTTTATTTATGATTACAAGTACAGAATATAATCTCAAATCTGTGAGACAGTATAATGTATAATGTTGAATAAACATGGATTTATACAGATGGCCTTATCAGCTCTAAAATAAAACTGAGTTACCCAGAAAATGTGATAATGCATGTATGCTCATTCTTTATCAATAACATAAAAAGTGCTCTATATATTACTAACACACTAATACACAAAGCACTTCCTTTCACACAAATTTCTTTCAACAGTATAAGAATAATTTCTGACTTGGGTTAACAAACATTTTAAAATAATTTACCACTTGTAATAGTCTGAAAAACATATCCTGTCAAGATATTAACTGTATTACCCAACTGAATTATAATATTACAGTTCATAAAATACATAGCTCATGAAGTTACAGAATATGTGGCACACACAATTATAAGTAAACAGATTTTTAATTGCTATAATTTTTGGCATACACTTTTTTTGCCTTTCAACTACAACCTTAAATACTCAAGAGAATGGCTATCTAATGATGCAGAATAGTGATAAAAATTTGCAATCATGCCAGACTTATCCTTCCATTCTGGAACTGGTTGAAAATTGTATTGTACTAAACAGTCTTCAGTGTTGGTGCAACTGATGAAGTATTTGCCTACTTACATTCAGACTATTGTGATGGAACCTTCTATAAGAAGCACCATGTTTTCAACATTACTAGTGTCTATTTGTGCCTCAATAAAAAGTGTTATGTGCTTAAAAGACAAATTACTCTATTCCTGGATTTTTCCAAATGCTCCTTCACTTGTAACTTGCACCTTCAATTAGAAACAGCCACGTAATAGACAAACACTGGTCATTTTCCTTCAAATATGCAATGGTCTTCCAAGTGTCTATACTACAGCACTCTTATTTCATTCTAACACATTCACCTGCTCTGCTAGAAAGTCACACAACACCTCACACATCCACACTTTCCACCCTAATATTCTACTGCCTACAATTATCTATGTGTGACACTTCATACCCCAAGATTGGAATTCTTGAAAATGTGAATGAAAATACTGCACCCAGTCTGTAATCTACATACTTCTTTAAAAACAAGTTGGGATGAAGAAATGAGATTTTCAGTACATATTTAAAGAACAATGTTCATAATTTAAATATCTTGTTTTTAATCACATAAAATAATTTTAGAAACCTCCCCATATTACTATTATAGTATCTATTTACACAAACGGAAGTACTGTACACTTCTAGTTACAGGTGCAGGGAAGAATAATGAGATAAGTAGATGCAAACACATTTCTCTACTATTTAATATGTGCTCCTGAAGAATGTTGCTGTACTGAGTAATGTATAAAGAGGAACAAAGCTTTGTGAAATTAAAGCAAACATTTTAAATTTCAAATGGCAGGAGTTCCACTCTGAATATGTATATATCTGCACTACAGTTTTAAATAAAGCAAAATACAGATACGAATAAGTTATGTGGATATGAGTCTACATTTTGTTTTCATTATTAATATGATACAGTAAACAAATACGGTATTGATTTGAGCGCAACTGCTAAATGTTTTTTCAGTCAACACAATGAATTTACAGTACCTTAGCTGATGCAGCAGAGTGGAGTGAGGAGAGGTCAATGGTAAAGGCTAATCAAATTCTAAATCCATGTTGAAGTCTGAGGGGCGTGAACTACGACTACTGCTGCTGCTAGTGTTACCACCAGTTGTAGAGCTTGAAGAAGATGAGGTTGATGAAGATGTTGAAGAGGCACGACTGTTGGCCGAGTCATTAGCTGCTCTGGAAGAATTTGATTACTTTCATCATGTCATTATTCATGGACTTACTTCTATTTAACATAGAATCCTCCCAATTCTAAGCCTTCCTGCATTTTATTTTTACTTTATAGTACAATGAAATCTCACTCCTACATACTCGTGGAGACTTCGACTTGTATTACTTAACATATTTACTCACAAGGAAGATCACTTCGAATCTATCACAACCCCTACCATCACATTTATAGATCAACTTCACACCCTCAATTTTAGAACACTTCCAACAACTCTGTAAATTTCTTTTACTGTTCATGTTTATAATACCTGAAAAAAGCTGCGAGACTTGGACCCACATTACTCATGTTACTGCCTCCAGAGCCAGGTTGATGATCTTCTAATCCTTCATCACCTAAACTTTTCCTGCAAATGGGACACGTACCATGCTGAAAAGAATCATCCACATTAAACATCCACTATGAATAAATTTAATTTTGGTCATCCAGCTTGTGACCATTTATTCTACTGCCTGCCAATCCCAGTATGAGAAAAAGTTATATAATCTTCTTGCATGAGGGAGGGATGTAAAAATTACATGAATGCACGCAGCACCTTCAACTGAAAAAGCACTGTTAAATAACTTCACTTGCATGTTTCATGTGTTCCTTTTGGAAAGTGCTTCAACTGCCACCAGGTATAACCACTGCCACCGGGTATAAACCCATTTGCAGTCAATAATAAATAATAATAATAATAATAATAATAACTGTTATTAATTTTAATACTGAAAACTTTATTTAAAAAGTTAACATTACATTAATATAAGGGACATTCAAATTCCACCCAAAATTTGTACTGTTTATAGCAAGTAACAACATGGACCGGTGTCAATTCTGTACTCATTTCATGGGATGAGACAAAGTATGTACTTGTACAGTGTGCAGTACCTCAAAGAGACTGCTCAGTATGAAATGGAAAAGATCATTATTGACAAATTATGATCAAAATTCTAGATCAGACTTTAATCACCTGCACATTAAATCAATACTTAAAAATAGAAAAACAAAACATTTTTGGCAAAACATAATAGGAAAGCTTACCAATTCAAGCCACGGAATAATGCAATTTTCATGATAGACATGTTCACACGGTAGTTTGCGAACTGGTTCATCAAGCCTAAAATCTTCCCAGCACACTGAGCACTGTAGACTCTTTCCTGTGGACAGCCCAATTAAATCAAAGCTCATCAACTATATTTAAACTACAAAAAACTCAAATTCTGTAAGTAGAGGAATGTAGACTAAAAATGTTATGCATAAACTGAGCATTATTAAATAATTAAAGATTAAAATATACACAACTATTATTTTACATCTTTTGTATGGGTGTGAAATTTTGTCTCTCACATTAAGGGAAGAACACGGATTGAGAATGTTTGAGAAAAGGGTGTTAAGGAGAACATTTGGGCAAAAAAGGGATGGAGTGACAAGAAGCTGAAGAAAATTGCATAACAAGGAGCTCCAAAATTTGTACTATTAGAATCCAGTAAACTCCTCTTCAGCCATCAGCTGCATCAAATGGTCTACAGAAACCAATGTTTCAGGAACCATCTATCCCTATCATGTAAATGGTTCTAGGTGTGTGTGTATATAAAGTTTTGAGTATCCCATGACATGAGATCTCTGATGATTGGGATCGAAGTGGCTTCCAAAATACCGACTTCTGACCACCTGAGTTTAGGTGTCACAAAAGATTCAAATGAACACATTATTACTGGGCAGATAAAATCATGGAGGATGAGATAGATGGGGCATGCAATTAGCATGAGGAAAGATAAAAATGTGAACAAAACTTTGGGTGGAAAGCCTGAAGGATACCACTTGGAAGCCCTAGGCATAGATGGGAGGATAACATTAAAATACAACTCAAGGAAACAGGATGGGAGGGTTTCAACTATATTAACTTGGCTCAAGAAAAGGACAAGTAGCAGGCTCTTGTGAACAGGCAATGAACTTTTGCATTCTATAAAATACAGTAAATTACTTGACTAGCTAAGCACACTATCAGCTTCTAAACAAGGACTCTGCTGCAGAGAATTTATTAAACCATTGTTATAAGTACACATGCTACTAACCTCTACATAATGAATAATACAAAGTCCTGTACAATGAACAGGTAAAAAAGTCATATCGCATATATATAACTTCTCACTGATAACTTCATATTAGCAAAAGTAATACAGATATAACACTGCTAATCTTGAAATCATTATTTCTGCATTACCTTTGTTTTATATACGGATATATTCTGAGATAATAAACCAACTCACCAACTTGATCCTGTGTTATTACAACAACTGGAATTTCTTTTATCTTATCTTTGGCCAATGGCGGTGGCCCAGTACCATCCATTTGATTCAGCAGTTGGGTGACAATAGCATCCAAGCCTTCACGACCCCATGCATAATCTCCAGGATTTCCCAGGAAAAATCTGTAATATAGAAAAATATGGAAAACATATGTAAACAAGAATAAACTTAATCTCTTTCATGATACAGGTAAACCTCGATTTACACCGGGGATGCATTCCTGGACAAACCGGCGTAAATTGTTTTATAATGTAAATCAATGGGAAGTCAATGACATGCATTCCCGGCACCCAAACATTAATGACTTAAGTTCCTCAAAAATTGACTTCGCCTTATCCGTGATAGCAATTTCAGTCAAGGGAATGTTTTTTCGATTAATGTCATCCACCCATAGCAACAATAATTTCTCCATTCTTTATAAAAGTTTACTTCTGCTATAACTCACTTGCGTTGCACTTACTCTCGTAGCCTGTTGCATTGACTGTTTTATTTTATATGAATTTTTCTTTATGGTAGTCACCGAGGAAGGAGGCAACTTCATACTTCTGCACACATTACGACAGGTATCACCACCTTCTATTCTATGAATTATGTCCATCTTATCTTCTAATGCAATTGACCTACACAATTTTTAGCAACACATTCACTTCTCTTACCAGACATGGTGGCTCTTCTACAATTTATAAATATGAAACAGTTGCTACTGCAGAATAGTGGTCAAACAACAACACAAATACGTTTAGCACACAGTTTTCAGCACATTCAATGTGTGAACAAGAAGCGAACTGAGCGCATTTTTCCTTACTCCCTTATCAGGCTGAACGCAAATGACTCACCGTGAAGAGTGACCAATGCTCGCGTGACTGTTGCGCAATGTTGGCGGATTTTTAGGAGATTATCTCGCAACTACTTAGCAATGAGTGCACAGGTGACTGTATTTATAATTTTTATTCACAACCAGCGATGTAAGAATTACGATTTAGTATAAGAATCAGTATGAGAAACATTGTAAAACGTTATAAATAATAGTAAAATATTTTTTTTCTCACTTTTTGACTTGCTGGTTTCAAAAGCGGAGTTATTCTGAATCGAAGCAAATTGAGGTTTACCTGTATATCTACAACATATAATTATGTTGACATTACTTTACTGTATACTGTGACCCTCAAAATATGCTTTATGGCTAAGCCGATCTGGACTCCATGGTTGAAAAACACTAAATTACATCATAAAAATACTTACACTGGAGCATTGCCAGCACGAGCTCCACCTAGTGCGCCCCATCCTACACCTGTTAAGTTAACCAGGAAATCCTGAATCAGATTCTCAATTGGTGCCATCTGTCTACCTCGAGGAACTCTGGAAACACAACTGTAAATTACAAATAGTTCCTGACACCAATAATAACAAAATGGGTTTATAAAAATCAAATGGTTAGGTCTTATATAATTGAATTTTACAAACACAAAACATAAGTGTTCATATGCAAAAATCACAAAATATTTCATGAATCTGAAGAGAGGAAATGTGAAATGAAAGACAGCACTCTGAGGCAACCTAAACTGGTCAGATGCACAATGTTGAATTATGCATGAAACAAATTTTGTGAGTTTCAGGACACCAATGTAACAACATACATATACGTCATTTTGCTGAAATTGAAACCCACATTATTCAATATCATGTCCTGCATGGTCCGTTTGTTAAATGTTTAGTGTGCTGTGGGTCTGAGTTGGTTTATACATTTAGTATGAATATTAAATCTCAGCATGTTGTCATGCATGCTGCCACCAAAATAATGCTTAATAAGTGAGTCTCATGAGTGCATTATATGTATTATACCAGTGGTTCTCAACCCAAAATGGGATTGCAAAGTACACTGCAATGGGCTGCAAACATTTTACCAGAGGCACCCGATTATTTATAAATGAACACTAACTGATAAACATGGGTACAAGTGGAACAAAATATTCAGCCAGGATTACGATTACATTGATAGATGGTTTCTGCCACGCAGCTATTCCTACCTTGTAACTTACCTAATTTACAGTACAGAGAAAGGAAAGCTGCATGGCAAAACAGCACATTTCAGCACTTTTGAGAGGACCATGATTTGTAGGTGCTGCCTCAATGCACAATGGCCATCTTGTACAAGGCCAATGGGTCTCTAGATAATTTAGTCTCTAGACCTGGTGTGGCAGCCAAATATTCAGAATGCCTCTCTTTCAGCCACTCCCTGAGCCTACCAACACGTGGTGAGATTAAAACTGCTTATTTGGGACATAGAAATAGACTGCTTGATCGGTCCCTTGACAAGACATCTTCATCCTTAGTACCCTGAATCCCATAGTGATAAGGCAACCAAAGGAGCATAAGATTATTCATACTAGACAAGGTACACAATGGATGTCAACATTCCAGACAAGCTCTGACATTACCCGGAATGTCTCGAGGGCCCACAGAACTACTTGACTATCTGAGCACCAGCCTCTGCAGGCAACCAAATTCAGCTCTGACTGTAGCCAGATCAAATCTCAGTCACCACACAATTACTATGTACATAAGATTAGGCCTTACAATACTCATATAAACTCAAAGCACAATTCACAGATTCAGACCCCAAGAAGAGTCGTAACTCTCTTATGCTAAAGATACTGTACAGTTCTTATTGTAATAAGAATAACAGCAAAATATGATGAAACATTAACTTATTTTCTCTCAAAGTAAACTGCAAAAGCAACCTATTCTGTTCCATTTACTTTGTTGAACTAAGTAAGATTTAAGGTTTTCACTTTGGTGAGTACAAAGATGGCTGACTTCTGGGTTGTAGCGCTGTATAGTCTGGTAGAAGTTTACCAATGTTTCAGAGGTCCTTGTTGCATCTATCATCACAGTGATCAGGCTACATGGTGCTACAACCCAGAAGACAGCCATCTTCACATTGTTGAACGTTTTGCGTATCTTCCATTATATGCAGCAGAAATTCTTGTCGCAATATGCGACCTCACCTGTTCCTCATAATCCTTTGCCTTGGAATGATACTGCCGTACCTTCCAGGTCGGCGAGAATCTGACCCATCACGATCTCTCCCACGCAGCACTCTTCTTTCATCATTGCCTCCACTAACACCAAGTAGAATCTCATTCAGCTCATCTCCAAGACGCTGGTTTAAAAGCTGCAAGAGCAGAATTTAAAATGTCAGCATTCTTAAGCATGCCCTTAGAAGAAACATTTATAGCTCCTGAAATATTATCAAGCAAGTTATGTGTGAGGTAAAAATAACATCATCAGTGCCAAAAACTTAATCAACTTCAGTCACGATTTTGAACCATTCAAAATTCTGTTTTCATTCAGGTTCAGTTCAGAGAGTTATCTCATGTTATGGTTCTGTTCCAGTTTAGCGATTTATGATCTGTAAATGTTTCAGTAACCAGTTCACAAAATGTAGTAAATAAATATACAAGACAATAAGCATGTAGTATTAAAAAAAACCACAGACCAGAGTCTTTCTTGAGAAGCTGATAGTCACTTGGAGTCAAGAAATTCCCCACTTTTTATGGAACCAAAGGTTCATTACTGTGAAGATTTCTGTCTTCTGGGTTGTTGCGGTTGTTCATCGCCCTGATGACGGAGGCAGTATGACCTCTGAAACATTGGTTAACATCGACCAGACTACACAGCGCAACAACCCAGAAGACAGAAATCTTCGTACTCACCATTGTGAAAACCTCAAATCTTACATCGTTCATTACTGTATTAACAGAAGCCCACCACTAGTCCTTGTCCTGAGTCAAATAAACCGTAAGATATATATATATATATAGAATTAGATATAATGCAGAGTTAGAAGAATTGATCCATCATGAGCACGTTGTGAGATATATTAAATCACAACGGTTAAGATGGGCGAGACATGTGGTCAGAATGGGAGAGGATAGACTGCCACATTTGCTATTAAACCAGAAATTGTGGGGAACAAGACCTAAAGGAAGACCAAAAGGAAGGTGGATTGATGCGATAGAGGAAGATATGAGAAAGATGAAAGTGTGCAACTGGAGAAGGTAGATCAAGATAGAAAGAGATGGGGACATATTTTTCGGGATGCCAGAGCCCACCAAGGGTTGTAGTGCAAGCAAAGAAGAAGAATACTAAAAGCCCACAAAGATTGCATGTGATATTTGTACAAAAATTTACTGTTATTAAGACAGTGCATAATACAATTTCAGAGAAATGCTGTGATTAATATTAAACATTATTTAAATGGTAAGAGGGATTGCTGCACAGTCACCTGTTTTAATATGATAACATACACACCTAAATATTAATTATGTGAATCTGCAGGCCTTTATTTTATTGTTCAAAAAATTGAGACTATGTGTCTGTGGAATTGTGGCTGCTTATAAGTCCACTATCTACCCCTCCCACAATACATGAGTGAATATGGAGCATCAGTTGAATGACAATGACAGGAAAACTGGAGAAACACCTCTTGCAGTATCACTACAACCACCACAAATGCCACATGGACCACCCCAGGTCTCCAAGAAAAGTAGCCAGTAACTAACCACTTGTGCCATGGTATGGCCTCTACAGTTTCTTTACTATCTTCTATCAAACATTTTATAACATCTCACAATTAGAACATCTTCTAAAACATCCTCTTTCATGCTGAAACTCTGTGGGGACAAAATAAATACTGTATTTGAAAACAACCTCTCCACTGTGACTTGTACAGCAGGTATTTTGAGAGTAACCCTGGTACATACATGCAAAGCCATACAAAACAGTGGCAACCACCCTAGAAGACTACAATCAATATTCTCACAACTGTGATAACCTCAAATTTGAGACAGTTAACCTCTATGGAGAGTGACACTGCAGAGTTAAACAACTAATTATATTTCAACCCCAAAGACAGAGGCAGCACAAACATATCTGAAATGTATGTAACTACCAACAAATGTACAATGTCAACTCAGAACAACATTGCCATATTCACTGTTGAAAGAACCTCAAATCTCACAATTCCAGAAATTAAAGTAGATCCTGTTCATTACATAAAAAAGTTTTGTAAGTCTATTTTGTGCCTAAAAATGTTTGGAATCAAGATTAAAGTGAGGGTAATGGTTACACAAAAAATAACAATGTGTACCTCTGGATTTTTACTGACAAATTCTCTATAGTTTACATGTTCACTGCTGCTGGATGCACAGGAGTCATATGGCTCCTGGTCCAGGTGTCAATGATGCACATATGGATCACTGCAGTTTCAGTGGGTTTGCATCAACACTGCAGTTTAGTTTAATCTCAGTGAAACAGCATTACAGTATCATTTTCATTAAGGTTAAAGTTAAATAAGGAGAAATCTGTGTCTTACCGCAGAGCTATTCTAAGACTAGAAATCACAGGAGACAATAAATCTGATGATTCTTGTAACTTAACTTCGGGTCCTTCACAACCAAAACTAAAGTGTTCTATAATAATAACTTACAACTGAAACGTAACATTACATCTTTTCACAACAACTAGAGCAGCAGTGTTCTATAATAATAACTTACAATTGAAACGTAACGTTACATCTTTTCACAACAACTAGAGCAGAGCGCTCCTTTCGGAGCTCCTCAGTGGGGTGGAGGTAGTCAAGTTTGTAAAACGCAACCAACCTTGTGTAAGAAACTAAACTACCCCCCCTCCAATGGAGGGTTAAAACACCAAAGGGGGGGTTGGTTGCGTTTTAGAATCTTACGTAACACACTAAACTAACCCCCCCTTTGGGGGGTTAGTTAAGTGTCTCATTCAAGTGTTTTAACCCTTGAGTAAGAAACTAAACTTACCACTCAGAATGGAGGGTTAAAACACTTGACCAACCCCCCTTAAGTAACACACTAAACTAACCCCCCCTTTGGGGGGTTGTAGTTGTTGATCTCATTGTTGTGAAGCGTTATTTGTTTACTCAGCATTGTTGTGGAACACAACAATGCCGAGTATAAACAAATATAAGGTGACATTGTTGATGACACCATTTTTCCTCAGTTGTAAGGCGAATGCCAGGGTATAACTTAATAGGGGCACGGCCCGCCACCCCCCCCACCCGATCATGGAGGCCATCAGCTGAAGTGATCTTCCCCCCATGCCGCAGAGGCCTTCAGCCGAAACGGCCCCTCCCTCTCTGGGTTCAAACCCCAGAGATCCAACCAACCAAATTCCTTTGGACAACTTGCCTGACGGGATGACCTCCCATCAGCAGCAACGGATCCCAGTTGTACTGGTCGAGGCTCCCGCCACGACGAAACCCCGTTAGCGTTAGCAAAATTTCCGTTTTTTAAAATTAAGACCGTTTACCATTTCCAGCAATGCGCCTTGTGCGCAGGAATGGTTTCACCTAGGTAGGGACGATGCTTGCGCTTGCGCAGGCCTCCGCCCTCAGTTAGCTTTTTGGTTGGTTGGTTGGTTGGACGCCATTTTTTGATGACAAATTGGTTGATGACAACAGGGAATCAGAAATTTTTATAGTAGAAGATACTAGATAATATTACAGAAGTAAATCCAGAAATCCAGAGACAATAAAAGCAACAGTAAATCAGAAAATAAAAGTACTATTCCACAAGAAGTGCAATGTTTATAATATGGAAAAACAAAAATAATTACACAATTTTAGACTTTGTTATTCAGCACCTGCACAATAAAACCCAAGTCACATATGACAAAATATTAGCTGCCAGTCAAATATAATGCAAATGAAAAAGGGAACACTTTGAGGAAGCACTGCAAACTATACAATGAAAAAATACAAAATTCTGGGCTTTGGAACAAGGTTTTGGACAGTTTTACCAATGAAAATTATTTTCATTGTAACTAAATTTTGTAATGAAATATGAAGCTAATTTTTATTATGAGGCAAGGTATAATACAACTTCAACAATTAATGAGTACTTCAGTTGAACAAAACTTATTTCTTGCCAACAATGGTAACTAATTTTGTATTTTTATGATTTTAGGTGATGTGTCCTGGCAGAGAGATCATACCACCACACAAATCAATCAGCCAACAGGTGCTCCTTCTCACTTTCTGATATGGTGACACATTGCTGATTGTAGCTTTACATGTGTTGGACAAGTTAAATTTTCTGCACATCCTTACTTTACAAAGATAATTTTTATAGTATGTATAATATTGTAATATTTTCAGACATATTTCATATAACATGTAAATCAGTTCTGCACAAATGTATCAGATACACTATTTTACATGATCACAGAATAGTAAAACTACGTGAAATTTATACTGCATGAATGGTATGCACTATTGCAAGATGTACTTCTATGATAACATAATTTTAAAATCAAAATTTCAGCTATTGAACCATAACAAAGTACTGTCACACCCAGAAGTAGGAGCTCTCTCATTAAGGTGTGCAGTACTTGTGACTGGGAACAAATTATTATTAAATGGTTATGAATAACAATTCTCTATATTTAGCATTCAATTCATTGGTAACAGTCATTGGAAATGAAATAATTTTCTAAATAAAATCAAATATGCATTAATTTTTAAACTTTAGGAACCAATTACTTATAATTTACCTCAATTGGAGCCACATCTTCCATTTCTGTGTCACTGTCATCTGTGAGGTCAGGGGGAGCCTCCAACTCCTCAATAAACCCACTATAGCAGTTGGGGCATGTGTAATCCTGAAATGCCACAACGTGTCAAATTATTGTACAATATTATAGTTTCAATTTCAATAAATGGCAATCATTATCTAATGAAAAGTGTGAAAAGGTTGGAGATGCAAGTAGGAACCATTTCCTGCAAATTCTTAAGACTGTAAGAGGAAAATTAATATCAAAAGCAAATACATGGAAGAAGTATCTAAGATTTACATGTAATCACTACTTATAAAGTTACTTTCCATTTTCTTGGGTGTACATAATCAAATAACAAGTATGCTTTATGTTCGAAAGTATGCATCCTGAACCAACTGTAACAGTTATGGTTTTCTATAAGGTTATTGGAACAGTAATTATATACCATTTCCAATAACAGTAAATATGCTTCAACTTACTGGTAGTACTCGGGGAATTTCTACGCTGCACTTATGACAAAAAAATCTAGCAATTGCTGCATCTTGAACAGCAGCTTCCGCCATATCTGATTACTTCTTCTCACTGCCACTCTGATTACCACGACTTGGATTACTGCGTTTGTATTATACCTTCGATCTGCGTACTGAACGTTATCTATGTCCTGGACTATCCCGCTGGTTGTTTCGTGTGAAATTTATGTATGCGTATCTGTAGTAACCACGTGTGGCCTAATAAGGTACAGAATCTTACAATAATTGAATGAGCTGGGACAGCCACAACAATTGTACGCTCGAGGTATACGTTCCATTGTCAGTGGTTCTATAATAATTGAATACTGTGCACAATATGCATAAAGTTATTTTCTGTATGCAGTCAAAGAAGATACAGCTAACACAGTTTGATTACAGATTCACTCCCTAGAAACGGTCAAGACAATTTTCGACTTCAACATCACGAATTATCAGTGAAAATGGTCCCAATGGTGACATATGGGATACAGCTCTTCTACGACTATCCACCTAAAAATAACTTCCCTCCGCACATCATCACGCCTCGAACACATCCTCACATAGTTTTTTTTAATCTAGGATTTCAGAAACATGCTCCTGTTGTCAACGGTTCTACGGACTGTCCGAAAAGTCATGCAACCCATTTCTGACATATGTTCTGTGTCTGCCACATTACAGGTCACCAGAGGGTAAATTACAACTCTGGTGCGCACTTAAGTACCCCTGACACATTAGAGGAGAAGGATGTAGAACATGTCATAACACAAATAAGGTCCTTGTTTCTTCACTTAAGTACCCCTGACACAGTAGAGGAGAAGGATGTGGAACATATCATAACACAAATAAGGTCCTTGTTTCTAATACAAATGTAAAACACATAGCTATTGCAGTAATTTGCAGCAAACTGCATTATTACCGCAAAAATAATTACACACGAGAACACATAACCTCAATTGCTTAAATGTATATATAACATGATATTCTAGGTTGAGGTCAATTCTTCTATGAAGTAAGAGTGAAATAGAGCATACTCTTGTAATGCTGGTTTAAACTATTTGTATTGTGATTCATACTTTCTAGTGGGGGGGGGAAGATTATTGAATAGCTTCTGTAGTGTTTCACACATGAAAGTTGTATGGTATCTTATACTGTGGATATCTGAGTTTGAAAAATTTCTGTTGTCGACTATAAATGATAATAATGAGAACAAGAATTTGCTGGCTAGTGGAAGAATATTATATTTCTTAGGCTCTCCTGCATGCCATTATTCAAATTATTTTCTTTTTCATGTAAAATACTTTTTTGCTGAAGATTTCTGTCTTCTGAATTGTTGCGCTGTGTAGTCTGGTCGATGTTAACCAACCTGATGACGGAGGGAGTATGACCTCTGAAACGTTGGTTAACATCAACCAGACTACACAGCGCAACAACTCAGAAGACAGAAATCTTCATACTCACCTTTGTGAAAACCTCAAATCTTACATACTTTTTTGCTGTCTGTTGAGTATCCCCAGAAAATAATTACATATGACATAATCAAATCCATGTAAGCAAAGTAGACAAATTTTTTAAGATTGTTTTCATGACTGATGTGACAGTTGTCATAGCAGGGCATGCTGAGCTTAGTTTAGGGATAATGTAATGAATATGTTTTTTCCAGCTTAAATTATTGTCAATTTGTAAGCCAAGATTTTTGGTGGTTTCTACTTCCTAAATTGTTTTATCATACCCTATACTTCCATGAACACAATTTTTGTTGGTAGTACAAAATTTCATTAAATTTATTTTCTCAAACTTTAATGCAAGTTTATCGACTTAAATCCATTTTTCATTGTTAGTGTTTGATCTGCGGGTTGTGCTTCCAGGAAGTTAATCCATTTTTCAAGCTACCAAAGACATCATTCATGCAAATTAGTATACAATCAATTAGTATAATCTGCAAAAAATCATTTAGACACACACACATACATATATAGTGGCCCGAGTACTTAACCTTGAGGAACTTGATATTTTATAATGCCCCAATTTTAATAGGTGCTATTATCTGAATTTAGTGATTTTATTTCTACTTGTTGCCTTCATTATCTGAATTTAGTGATTTCATTTCTACTTGTTGCCTTCTGTCATGAAGGTATGATTAAACCACTGATGAGCTAAATTGTTGGTCCATTCTACTGAGAACTGTAATGTACTGTCCATATCTAGACAGTGATGAGTCCTCACTGAAAAGAACAATAAAAATCAGCATTTTATTGACTAATAAATACAAGTTGGAACAAAGAAACTCACAAAAACTTAGAATAGGAAATCCAATCAAAACTATCTGATTTTACTTTGTATGAGTTGAATTTAAAAAGGGCAATACTGAAATATTTTCATTGTATAATTGGCAACACTGCTGAAGCCTGGTCATACTACATTTCTTGGTCAGTGACATGCTATGAATGTGGTTCACATGTAGTAAATTTGTGCTCAGTGTGTCATAAAGCTGGTTGCTACACTAGAGGTACACCAATGAGCAACACTGATGCCCAGCATTGCAGCAGTTACCAAGAATCAGTGCTTAAGCAGACTCCCTGTTTTGTTTGGTTGCAGATGTGGATAGGCATCCTTAACCTGTCTACACCAGCAACACTGGTTCAGCTGCTTCTGAACATTTTAATCAACTTGTGCACATGTCACTGTGATAAACAGTCCTGTCCATACTTGACAGCCAACTGTCAAAAGATCTCTAAACTTTTCATTACTTGAGACACCAAAAAGCATAATATTGCATGTTGCTTGTCCTTGGTGGAAATTCCTAGTACAGCAATAATCTTTATGTCATGCTCACTATGCATAAATGGGTAGCGGAACCACACTAACAGCATGTCACCATCTGACCTTGAGATACAGTATGACCAGGCCCCAGCAGTGGTGCCAATCATACAGTTAAAACATTCCAACATTGCCCTTACTTCTTGAATCTCCTTTGTAGCATTTCCTATAGATCCCTGCAGGTAACAAGTGCATGTGAAGATGTGATCTACAAAACAACAGTTTCATACTATTAAGTAAAACAGTTCAAACATGTCGAATATGGAAATTAACAACATATTCTGCATTTGTTCTTTGAACACTGATAGCAAATGGATCAGTTGGATGGAATGTGAAGGCAACAAGACGTTTAGCTGAAGGAGGCGGACTCATCCCAAGAACTCCTGCATAGATCCGAAACTTCAGTAATCCTGAATCACGTGCATAAAATCTGAGGAGAAAAGTAAACATATATTAAATAAGCTCAAGTGCTCTCATAATTTAATTTGGGTTTCATAAGCACTGGGCACAATCTTTAAAATGTAAACTTTGCTCCATTACAAAAAGGAATGTGTTTAGGAAAAAGCCTATGCAATGTGATTTGGTATTATGTGAATTCAAGCTTCAGTATCTGTGGTTCATATAACCCAAATGTCTGGTCTGTGAAGAGATACAGTATATCACTACAAAAATTTCTTCTGAGACTACCTATAATTATAATTAATTTGGTTCTTAAAATTTTCAACAAATACCTTTCCCATTCATTTAAATGTTATTATTTCATACCTTGAATTCTAATTAAATTTATGTATTAAATTACTGATTATTACAGGCAATATTAATAACACCAAGTGGTGCTGGTATGCAACTTGTAGTGGCAACTTTTGACTACTCAGGTACTCGGTAGATGTAGATGAATCCTGTGATTAAATATTTTTTAGAAAACTTGAGAATGCCTGTTAAAATGACTGTTGAAGAATTCAAACGAATTATAACAAAGTAACAAAGGAATGCAGTGTAACAATTCCGGTGCATTCATTGTTAATGCCTCCAGACTTTCATTTTGTAACTTTCAACATTTGATGCACTTTTATACAGAGACAGGGAAGATAAGCAGCAAGGACCTTCCTCAGAATAGATGTTCGAATGTCACAGTAACCAGTACATTAAGTTCCAACCTCAAATAAATAACACAAAGCATGACAACCACATAGATCGATTGGATGGACTCTATATGTCTTGTTACAACAACTTCTATTTGAATAATTTTTCAACATGATATATATTAAATAAAATCCACATAAAGCTCATTTATGATTTTACACAATATGGTATGAACAGCTATGCAACAGTAGATCTGCAATAGACTGCAATATCTGTATCTGCAGTAGACTGATAACAAGTCTCATCATAAAGGATGCATTTTATGTCTATTGTAGGTGCAGTGTACCTGATAGGATGTTCTCCACAAGCTTTGGGTCTCTCCATGACGGACACCCATTTGTCATCGTAGCTGAAGAGAGAGAGGTCTAGATATGGAGAGCTGCTGTAAGACTGAGCACTGATTGGTAGTTGTGCCAGCAGTCTTTTAGTGGCTTCAGTTGGTCCCCCAAACCGAGCACTAACAATTGTTTGCTTGAAACGCTGTTGTATTAGTCTGCAAGAAGTGGCATCACTTTCATTCTATGATCTGTAAACATGTGATGTCAGGGATGTAAATAACAGGGTAGTACAGGATAGGATGTGCAATATGTCTTCATGTCTTCATGTTTATCTCACCTTCAAATGGTACACCCTGTTTTTACAGATGAGACTGACAACTGACTCATGGCAGTATAACCATTATATCTGAGGAAGTAAAATGCAAATGACTGTCTACAGGCTCAAACACAGTTACGGTCAACAGGCTAATAGTAACCCATCATGCCTTGGAAGAGAAAGAAGGATGAAAATCAAGCCAAAATTGTTCATCAAATGACCTAATTTCTTAATGGCTTGATGATGATGATGCAAATAACTAGAGAAAACAAGCAAGGGTAAAGGCAGCAGAATTACTAAGCACACAGAAGAAAATGTTAAGAGTGAATCTAAATTTCTTACCACTTAATGATCTTCTAAAGATAAATAATAAAATGCATATTCTTTAATTTAGTGTAGTTGCAGAATATGAATGTAGCAGTTTACAGTAAAGGAAAGGAAAATATATGTACAATCATCATTTTCTCAATAAAAACAAAAGCAATTTTTGTAAGAGTGTGAAACTTGGTCTTTCACATTAAAGGAAAAACACAGATTGAAGGTGTCTGAGAATGGAGCTTAGGAGAATATTTAGACCTAGATAGATGAAGTGACCAGAGACTGGAGAGAAATGAAATGAGGAGCTCCATAATTTATACTCTTCAACTGATATTATTAGCATGATCAAATCAAGAAGGATGAGACAGATAGTGCATGTAGCATGTATGAAGAAGAGGAGAAATATGTACAATATTTTGGCTAGATAGTCTGTAGTGAAGACACCACTCAGAAGATTTAGGCATAGATGAGAGGATAACATTAAACAAAATATTTCAGAAATAAGGTAATAGGGTTGGACAGGATGGACTCAATTCATTTGGTTCAGAATAGCAACCAGTGGCAGGCTCTTGTGGACATAGTAATGAAACTTCGAGTTCCATAAAAGATGCTCAATTTTTTTATTAGCTAAACATACTATTAACTTCTCAAGGAAGACTAAATCATGCAGTTAGTTAAACAAAAGTGACTAGCTAGCAGAATATATTAATGGAAATGTTATAAAGTGATGCAGAAGAAATTAACACATGACTCCACATAATATTGTCATCTCTGAAATGAATGTATTATTTATCTGATTCTCTAAAGGTTTGTTGATGATCAATCCACTAAATAATAAAGTGCATGTTGGTGGAATATTTGTGAACTTGCTAAAGCATTTGATTGTGTAAATCATGAATTACTACTATCAAAACTAAATTTTTATGGAATTTGAAATATAGCTGGTCAGTGGTTTAAATCATACCTCCATGACAGAAAGCAGCAAGTAGAAATAAAATTATCAGTTCAAATGATAGCACCTACTCAAACTGGGGCATTGTAAAACATGGAGTGCCTCAAGGTTCAGTACTTGGTCCTTTGCTTTTTCTTGTGTATATAAATTATCTGCCCCAACCATCAATTCTCAGTCTAAACCTATACTCTTTGCTGATGATACTAATATTATTATTTCACATCCAGAAATTGACTGTTTTCAAAATTGCATAAATTATGTCTTTGCTAGATTGAACAAATTGATTAAAGCCAATAAACTCACATTAAATTAACAAAACAAATTTCATTAAATTTTGTACTAACAACAGAACTTGTGTAAATCTAAATATAGGGTATGATGATAAAATAATCAAGGAACTAGAAACAACTAAATTTCTTGGATTACAAATTGACAACAAATTAAACTGTAAAAACATATTCAATACATTATCCCTAAACTAAGCTTGGCATGGTTTGCTATGAGGGCAGTTGCAGCACTCATGAAAACAGAAACTTTAAAATTAGATTATTTTGCTGACTTCCATTCCATCATGTCATTGGGAATCATTTTCTGGGGAAATTCAATGGACAGCACAAAAGTATTATACATTCAAAAGAAAATCTTTAGAATAATGACAGGCACTAAAAGAAGAGCCTCTTGTAGGGAATTATTTAAGAAGTTTAATATTCTTCCACTAGCCAGTGAATTCTTGCTCTCACTATTATCATTTGTAGTGGATAACATGGAAAAATTTCAAACAAATACAGATATCCACAATATAAGAACAAGATATAGATACAACCTTCATGTGCAAAATTCTAACCTCAGTAAATATCAAAAAGGAGTTTACTATACCGGAATTAAGTTATTCAATAATCTTCCACCTACTATCAAAAGTTTAATTCACGATATAAAAATGCATAAGCCAGTGTTAAAAGAGTATCTCCTATATCACTCCTACTCAGTAGAAGAATTTACATCACTCAAAAAGTCTCAAGTATTATAAATACATGTAAGAAATAATGGTGATGGTTTCTCATCATAATTATTTTGCTGTAATACTGTAGTTCCAAAAATCTGTAAATAGCTGTTATATCTTTGTATTTATATTTGTACTAGAAACAAGTATTGTATTTGTGCTATGACCTGTTCTACATCATTGGCTTAGGCCTATAAAGGATCTATATCTCAGACAATGTCCAACAGATTATTCCTATAATACTACTCATATTTCTGCAGCCCTGCATATATTTATCCCCATCAGACGTAACCTTCAAAAATACAATGAATTACCTTGCATAAATATTATTTGATGGAGAACATGTGAACTGTGACTCAGAATGTAGTTTCGCATTACGAAATAAGTCACAAAAATTTTCAAACAGCTGGAGGAGTTCTTCAGATGTATTTTCATAGACAGCCAAAACTTCAGCATTGAAGATGTTATACACAACAAAGAAGGATGACTGTGAATTTGGTTCTGATGCTTTCAATGTGACAACATCTTCCCCTGCATACTTCACCAGCAGATGATTTTCATCCAACAGTTGCATTTTCCACATCCGTAAAGCTTTGAACTAAACATATAATTCACTTTATTAGCTTTTTGGTGAAACAGCTGATAATTTATTAACATACCCTTGGTAAGAAGAGTTTAATTCAAACTTAATTTATATTGACAGTGAGCACTGAAGATAAAAGTTGGATGGAAAGATTACTTTGAGGACAGTCATAAATAATATAAATGGTTCAGTAATTTTCTCATACTGCAAAAGGATTATGTCAGTGGGTGACAACCAGAAGCTCACCAAACTTCAGAGCATGGCAAAGGGCTAATTTCATGAAAGGAAAATGAAAAATATAACCCTTCAAACCCAAATTGTAGCTATATTTACCACCTGCTTTAATAATCAGTAGTTCTGCACTTGTCCAGATAGGGTTTTATATGATTGTCAGTATAAACAACATGAACCAAATGATATGTGAGAAATGTGCTTTCTTTGAGGTAAAAACTGAATTTTTATACATTAATTAGATGAGCTTTATCTTCAAATGGTTAATGCATAACTAGGCACATTAATGTGGAATTAGTTTCCATTGTTTTTCATTCTCTCTGAAATACTGGAAAATAATTCCATACAAACGATCAGTCATTGAAAGCGCCAAACTTTATAATAATATTAATATTTATAATCATCCAAATATTGAGAAGTTGGTGGCAAGAAAGACTGCTAAGCTTTTACACATGTAATTTAATTAAAAATATAAGATAAAAACAGATTCAGTAACTTCTGTTACTGTTATTCAACCTGTGATATGGACAGGCTAGAGAACTATCCAAATTGGCTCCCATTGGATTATATCTAAATGTATTAGTGGCATTAATTCTACTCATACTTAATTTTGAAAATACTCATTTGTGGCTATCACAGACATAATGCAGTACCACTGGAAATTCTGAAAATTCATCATTGCATATGTAACACTGTAAAAAGAAGGTACATTACTGTGGTTATGCACCACACCACAAAGACATGAGGAGTGAAGGTGAAACTCCAGAGATTTTAACTTTGGCACTAGATGGAGGTAAATGGTCAGCTTCATGCTCCAGGCACATTATCCCCAGGAAGAGCTCATGGCACTTATTGTATTGGAGGACAGATGGGCAGAAGAGCTGGTCTGGACATTGTGACAAAAGCCATGACCATCACTTTACTGACTGATGTATAACAGTTCATTCAAAATTCTGTTGACACTAAACTTGTTTTGCACATAATTATACGGAAAAATTACCTGGTCAAAATGCTGATAGAATTTCCGAAGTTCAAATGGGTTACTTGTCATGTCAAATATGTGCTTTGCCCTTTTAAACAAGAACACAAGAAGTCTATGCTTCAATGAGTTTATTGTTGCATCCCTAAAAGGTCTGTATACATTAGATCCATTTCCTTGGAAAATTTCAGATGATAAAAGGAAGTCATCATCTTCATAGCAGAATCTCCCAATTGTGCGAACATTGATGAAAATTCCATCAACCAACTGAAATATGTGGATAGTTTGGTGCTGAACAGATAATACAGCTAAGGTATCCTTGTACAGATACAAGCCTTGATTATGTGAAAGATATATTTTATCCACTTTAAATGTTCTAGTATCACACAAATGACCTGTCTGTAAATCTACCAAGTGTAAAGAATAATCCTCAAGTGGTGAACGAGGATTAGGTGTCACAGCTTCATTATTGGTATATATCTCATAGAAATGTGGTCGTAAGTCTTCTGGAATGTATACTGCAGATCCTACAATAACATAATGACCATCATCTGTGAAAAGACTGCATTCTCTGTTGAGTTGCTCTCCTCTTTGAGCTACATTAACTACATATTTTAATTTGAAGAATCGTTCAAACACCTTACTGCGTATATAATCACTTCTCTGATCATTCTCATTTCCAATGTATTCCCCTTTGCAACCATCCACTAAATCAGCAGCTGCGAATGAACCACGATATTCATAAATTTCGAGGGATGTTTGGTCTGATGAAAAGGCTATGAAGTGGTGACCATCTGGGCTGAACTTTCTCAGAAAGCAAGGTGGCTTCTCAACGTTGACAACAGTGAAATTGGGGAAAACATTCTTATGAAATTCTCGAGCAACGTGAAAATGAGTACCAGGTTTGATAGCCCCATAAATCTCTCTCCTGAACAACCTATTAATAATATTTTGAGGCGGAATATTTCGAGGAGTCAGAGCATATTTAAAACTATCTTGAGACTGAGTTATATCCATCACTGACCGTTATCACCACACTTCTATTTATGTGCATAGGCGGATTCATACTGACGTTTACAACCATAACCTAAACAGAAAAGGAGACGGTTACACAAAAATACTTCAACATGCATTAGGATACAAAATAAATTATGTTATTATATTACTGTAGACTGTGAAACATGAATTTACGTATTTCCCACATGTGATTCACAAATTATAAGAAATCCACATTACTCTAATGCACATATAATACCAACCTTAACCCTCAGATATGGATGTGTCAACAATATTTTCAGGAACTGTTTTACAACTCATCCAACAACATTATAAACATCAATCAGTAATATATCTCGAAATGTTTATTTATAAATATATTTACTCACAGAATAAATTTAAATATACCTTTCGTGATTTTGTAAATGTTTACTTCAGTGAAACAAAATCTCCTGGACAGAACCCTATACCCACCAATTACAAACGTTCAACCTTAACCACTCCGATACAAGATCTTGGAAGTTCTAAAACAATTATATTGAAACTATAACGTAACTAATTATTGAAAGCTTATATTTTAGAAGTAAGGTACAATGGAAAACAAAAAATCTCTATTTCTTGTCTACTTTTCCTTGGTCCCAATTGCATTAAAAACCTCTGACCCAAAACTGATGACTTCTTATTGTCAGAAAGGATGTAGAGAAGCTGCGAGTTACAGTAGAATAAATAACTTTACACAACTGCAAGCAGCTGTTGAGTTTCGTGGGGATTATGTAGGAATTCACTGGAATTTAAGGACTATGTAATCTGAGGATTAAAGAAAATATGGTATTGTTGCATATTGGTTTACTATGCTATCGTTCCACAAAGTAAACGGGGAGAAAGCATTATGGACATATAATGTACGCCATGCCTATTGTGGTGCGCCCTGTGAGCGATTGACACAACGGCAACATGACAGTAGCCCAGTCGGTAAGATTAACTACTCTTCAACCTTCAAAATTCCTCCTCCCCATGCCACTAAGACTACTCAGAGACAATGAATAATTTTGAAAGCCTCATATCGTAAGTAATCTATGTATCAGAGGAACTTGTGTCATCTTTAGGTTAAAAATGAGTAGGTATATAATAATTTCTACATAACATTTATACATACAATAATAATTCGTAAAACACGAAGTTCTTGTAGTAGTAGTTCTTGTGAATCGTGCCAAGATGTCTCTACGTATGCTTCAACGTTTCCTGAATGAGTTACAGTTGAAATGACGTAATAATTTGTTACGTAGTTTTCTCGATAATGTGGTATAAAGATGTAGGTTGAGGTAATGTTTTGGTGTACGATAACAGTTTGTTGAACATAGAAGAACTAGGTTGCGAAAACTACAGCTTGTGTGAAAAGTACATGAACTGTGATTAAATCTTTCCATACAAAATTATCGATTTGATACCACTAAATAGTATCACAACCCTTGTAAAGTCTGACTGTCAGTTATACTTCATTGACATATTTTGTCTCCAAACAATTCGGTTGTTTGACATTCTGTTAGTACCTTATGTATGTCACAATATGGGAATAATTTGCAAAGGTTACATCTGTAACCCTGTTATCTTTAATTAAATTGTGTATTATTTTGTACCCAGTTGTAGGTTCAAAAACTCATCTTTCCTTTGCTTTTGCATTGAAACATTTTTAAACATCATAGCACAAATACAATAATTGTTTCTAATACAGATATGTTACATAACACGAGTCCATCAGTTGAAATATATGTACTAAAGGCAACAGCACAAATTAATATCATAAATGAATGGATTAAACATTATAATGGATGATATCCAAACATTGAAAACTGCTTAACAATAAGTAATTACCTAATCCCTAAGAGCAGAGTCCTTCAGAAGCATATAGTTCAGCTTATCAAGAAATTTTCTACCTTTTATGCAACCCAGAGGTTTGATACTTACGTACTTTGATGACCCGTTTTTCGGTGCCTGAGCATCTGCGGGTCCCAACGTTTTGTTGGTTTTGATCTATAGAGAGTTGCAAGGCCTCTACCTGTACATATGAAGCACAACACAGAAAGACATGGACAATCTTCCATGCCTTGAGTGGGATTCGAACCAGTCCCAGTGACCAAGTAGCACAAGGCCCACGCCTCAGACAGCGTGGCCACTGTGACAGCCAGAGGTTTGATAGTGTTCCTAAGAGAACCTTCCACTGGATCCTATCCTGAGCCAGTTTAGCTCTGTTCACACCCTATTTAAATACATTTTAATGTTATCCTCTCATTTATGTGTACATCCTCTCCCAGGTTTTCCTACATAAATGTTGTATGCATTTCGTTTCTCACCTGTACATGCCATGTGCCTCATCCATTTGATCCTTTAAATGATCACCTTCAATATTTGATAAACAGAAATTATGAAGTTTCACTTTACATAGTTCATTTCTTTCTCCCTTTCCCCACTTCTAGGCCTAAATATTCTCCTCAGCACTTCATTCAATCTGAGTATTCGCTATAGGGTCATTTCTAAATATCTGGACTTTACCACATTTTTGAATGATTTATTAGCTACCTTTATATTATTATTTAACCATTTACATGTAAGTTACAAATATGGGTGACTACTGAACTTTATATCCCTCCAGAAACAGGAAAAGGAAGGCTTCTGGCCAGATGGAATAGATAAAATTACAATTACATTATTCTTGAAAATTAGTCAGATGGCCTTTATGAAATGTCATGAAGTTACAGAAAATTTTTAAGTCAGAATAACTAACTCCCTGGTAGCAGAACCCGCAGGTCCAACAACACCAAAGCCCGCCACCGGCCACAATCCTGAGCCAACTCCATTCATTTACTATTCTCACATTTTGATATCCCCCATCCCCTTCTTGGTCTGCCCAGTGCTCATTTTCCAGGATTCCTACCAAAATTCTCTATGCACCCCTTATCCAGCCCATTGGAGCCTCCCAGATTTCAGTATCCTCACTATTGTACAGGTCACCTAGCAGGTGACCTGTACAATTCACGCAGCTTCTCATTATGGAGTATTCTAAATTCCCCACTTACTTCATCCTTCCTAGGTCCAAGTATCTTCCTGAGCACCTTCTTTTTCAGACACTTGTAATCTACGTTCTTCCTTCAAGCTAAGAGACCATGTTTCACAACTATACAAGAGAACAGGCAAAATTATTGTTTTATATATCCTGATCTTTAGAGTTTTGGATAGCAAACGAGGTAACAGTTTTTGAATTGAATAAAAACAAGCGTTTCCTGAATGTGTTCAACTAAATTTCATCATGAACCTTATTTATGTTTGTTACTGTTGTTCCCAGATACTTCAATTTCAAATGATGTGTTACTTATAATCATGTTTCGCCGTTATTGCTAATGTTGATCCTGTATTATGCCCATGTATTTAGTTTTGTCTACATTTACTTCTAGGCCTATTTCCTTGCTAGCCTGTAGGAGAGCTTCTGCATTCTTTGTTATGGTACCCACACTATCCCCCAGCAAATTGACATCATCAGCATAGGCAAATACCCGGTGCAGACCATTCAATTCGAGCCCTTCCCGAAGACAAGTTCTAGAGAAAAATTAAAAAGCATCGAGATAAAGCATCCCCATTTTAGGCCATTGTGCACTGGGAACGGATCTGATACGTTACCTATACAAACTCTACTAGAAACCCCATCCATACACATCTTAATTAACCTAAGAAGCTTTGGTACTCCAAACTCAATCAAAATGCCATACAGTACCTCTCTTTTGAGTCATGCACCTTCCTAAAGTCCACAAATAGTTGGTGCACTGACCAATTATACTTCCACTTTTTCTCTAATATTTATCAGATGCAAAAGATCTGATCAGTAGTTGACCTATTACAGCAGAATCCACATTGATTACCCCCGATGGGTAGACCATATGTCTCCAAAATAATTGTGGTTCCTGGGGATTTTCTTTTCACAACATACACAGTTAATGTGCGACAGTCTGTGCATTGTTATCTCTTCATGTTGCAGGATGCTAAGTAATAAGGAGAAGGAATATCTTAAAGAAGTTCTGAAACTCATTTCAGAAAATGATCTGCACTTACTAGCACAGGTTGTTACTAACAACATGATCATACCTGTCACCACAGAAGGTAAATATGTCAGATATCAGAACACATCAGGATGCTGTAGTAGAGTTTTGTAACTTTAGCTGTTTGTTGTATGTCATGAAGATAAGAACTTGAACAAAGAGGGATAATAGAAATAAAATTAATTGAGATCATATGTTGCCTTACAGAAGCATTGGATGCCATTTTTCTGCACTCAGATACAGTGGAATCTGTATTGCTACGAAGAAAAGTATCAAAAAAGATTCTTTTCAAATATCTCCATAACAGTAATGTTCCCGTTAATCCATCATCAGATAAATTGACTATGATCAGTACAATTTTTCAGATGTGGAATTATCATCCCTGTGATGAGGTAATTGAGTTAATGTTCTTTTTGATAGACCAAAGTGTGAAAGTTTTAAAGAAATTTTGAGTATTTTTTTTACCTTATTCATAAATGTAAACTCACTATGGTAATAGATCCTCAGCAACATTGATAATATCACAACCTGCCATGGGACATAATCCTGAACCAGTTACATTCACCTGCATTTCTCACAGCCAATTTTCACAAGGTCTGTGTAAAATAAATGTAAAAGAGAGGTTCCACACAAAGGCTGTAGTATTCTTGGTATTGTGGTTTGCCATATGCAGCCATGCAGGAAGGAAATGCCCTGAGTATATGTACTGAATGAGACTTTAAAATTGTAAAAAGAATGATGATTTTACAGCACTTGTTGATGTACACAAACTTCTGATTCAAGTTTCATAAGATATAAAACTCATACATGGTCATTTAGTCATTGTCCGTTAATGATTATGTTATTCTTCAAACACAGTCCAGATGTCATCACATTTGTTTAGTGTCTGCTGGTGCACTGTTGTACTGAAATATGCTCAACTCTGTTCATTTAATTATTCAAAAAAGGCCTCACAATTTGGATGAAGCTAGCTGTTATCAGTAATGGGCCAAATGCCATTATATTTATTTGTACCCGAATTAGAGTAAATTTTCTTCCTGTATTGCAATTGATGTAACATAACCTTAGATTTTATGATGAGTTATTGTATTTCATAATGCTGTATTTGAATTTTGCAGCCCATGGAATCTACAGAACCAGATCAGGAATGCAATATGACCAGTCATGAAACTACAATTCCTAAACCTGATATAGATGTACGTGAGATTCATGAGATGGCACGTCACTTTACACACTGGTTTTATTCAATGCTCAACCAGGTTGAAGTACAGTGTCAGAAAAAAGAGTTAGGAATCGAGCACTTCTGGCAGGATTGCAACATGTGCTTAGTTTTAAATTCAGAAAAGTGTTGTTCTAAATTGGAAGTGAAAGGAAATGCTTCTCAGGTTGCACAACTAATCTCATATACCAAAACCCATAACAAATTATATTTTAATCCAAATCTGTCAAATGAAGGTGTCCAAGGAAAGACAAATGTGCATGGTTTAGTTATTGTTCTGGCATGTGGCACATTACATCAGCAAGACAAATGTGTTGGTGTATTTGAACAGTTATTTGGTCTTGCAAGGGATCCTTCAGCTGGTAACAATTGGAAAATAAAATACACAGAACTACATCTGAATGGAAGTGTTATTACAAGTTTACCTACTGTGGCAGAAGACAGCACTGTAAGGAGTATATCATCTGTACCGAATTCTATTCGGTTAGCATTTAGTTCACATTGATACAGATTTTCATTCCATATTAAAAATGATAAAGGCTGTAAAAAATTAAAATCTGTACTGACATATCAGGTTGGAAGAGGTAGGAACTGCTAAATACAAAATTATTTTTTGTACATTGTAAATTGCTTTAGCAAATTTACATGCCTAGTTCTGTACGCAATCTCACCCCATGGAAGCAATAAGAAGAAAAAATTAATTTCATATCCTTGTAATTCTTATGCTACATTAATTCTAACAGTAATAATTTCATTTTTATCTGTGTTGGAGTTCAATGTGGAGTGTCATTCAATATGTACAATTGGATTCCACATTCATTATAAAAAGAACAACCAAATCCAAACATAATACCATAACTTATTCTGCTAGTATATATTTTTAACTATGTGACAATATTTGGATTTCTAGCATACTTCTGATGATCAATGTCTCAGCTGGTTTCAGTTGCCTTCTTAACAGTGATAAAGTGAAAAGCATCAATAATTACATTCTGTTTACTGTATTTTTAAGTTGAAAACTCGAAATAAAAATATATTATTATTAAGAAAATTTATTTACCTGTATGTGAAGGTGATGTAAGTAGTCTTTACATATACTGCTTGGTATACATTACTTCAGAATTATATGGTTTATCATCAAATTTCCTATTATTAATTCTGCAAAATAAGAGGAATATGACTGTAGCTTCAGTATCAAAACTGTGAAGACAGCTGTATGATATCTTAGGAGTGATGTCCAGCTCAGGTGCACGTGAGTCAGTATGCTGTTTGCTGTTGGTGTCAAATCCGGTAGCAACCTCCAGCAACTCGTGAATGAAAGTCTTTGAATAGAGATTTTATCACTTGCCATAATTGTGCAACAGTTCATTTTATTCTGCAAGCAGTTGGGTTGGCTGTGAATTGCTGTGTTATCTTTTAGTGTGTTTCTGTACCTGGAAGGAAGCTGTATTGGGGTAGTCAGCCACTGCACTCTAAAAGAGGCAACTGTGGCACAGATGAGAGACTGAACCAATTCTTGATAGTTACTCTGACACTCATGATAAATGTTCAGCTGTAATAGAAAAAGAGATGACCTGACAGAACAACCCATAATTCCAACTCACTGAGCATTGCAAGGTATGTTAGTGGGGCTGACTGGTTAAGACAAACAAGGGTGTCCATAACTATGACTTACACAAAGTTATGATGATGAAATTATGACCCTACTTCCATCTGAAGGAGTGTTCAAGAGGGGACAAGACAAAGGTTATGTTGTTTCAAGGTAAGTTATCAATATGAGCCAAAACTGTGTTGAATGACAAACCAATGAAACAAGCCAGTGCTTTTAAATACCTGAAATACAATATTATCTTAACCACTTTAATGCAAAATTAAGTAACTTTCAATACAGAGTGATTGTAAAAGGACTTTACAACTTTGAAAGTGTATACCACCATTTTACATTATGTGTACCTTCTCTTGTACCAGGAATCTCCATAAGATTATCTGCAGAACTATCTTGAGGTTCCTGATTTGAAGTAAGAGGACATTCTTCATTTTCATCAGATGAATGTTCTGCAAGTGATGGTGAACACTGACTTGGATATATAAAGATCAGCATTCATTCCTATAGAGTATTGACTGATGTTTTGGGTTTCAGCCCACCTGGCATTTGGGACATGTTTTGGAGGCACCACAAATTTAGGATATTTAAATTAAAATACACTTTCAAGTAAACACTTGCTTCCTAATAAAAACCCACCAGAAGGACTATGATACTGACTGTGGTTATAAATGCAGTCTTAAAAAATCACCAATTGCATGTCTGCATGACACTGCTAGTTTATCATCTCTATCAGATTTCACTGAGTATAGCAATGATTTTGCCACCAAGCAATTCAAATAATACTTAGTTTATTTATGTGCTGCAAATAAAATGGACATTTCCTTTCAATCTTTAACGGAAAGTCTGAGTTTAAATTTGTCATGAATGATTCTAATACTGATGCATTTCTTCAGAACATGAATGTATCCAACTTCCAGTAGTCATGGTTCATAGAGATAACTACCCGAACCACTCAATTCTTCAGGTATTGCCTATGAATGTCTGAAACAGGAATATAATTTACCAACAAATTAATTATATATTTCACAATTGTCTGTTAGAAATGAATACCACATTCAGTCTGGTTTTTGGGTATTAAAAATAGTATCTTCTGTGATGAGACTGAGATGCCTATTTAAAAGCTTCATCAATATACAAGTACTGGCAATAGCTCAATATAATTTTAATTACCTACATTTGTTGTCAGACACTGCATCACAGATTCATAATACCCGTTTTCATTCGAATGTTTCTGTCTATATCATAAGGCTAGTCAGAATTCCCGAGTCTTATTTAAAAACACCTCTGAGTAACTGCTTTACATGTGATGAATTTGACCAATGTTGTGCAGGGGAAAGCTAAGAAGTGAAGATGTTTAATATGGCACAGGAAATACACTGTTAAAGTTGACAATGGTACCACTTCATGTAGGTCCCAAAATTTGTATAATAAAATATCTTAAAAAAAATGCAAGTACTGTTAAATTCATTACTTTTTAGGATGTAGAATAACAGAATGGTGACTGCATAATCTGCATTTAAGTTTTAGTTTTATGGCAATAACTAAAAAGTTTCAGCTAGGAATATGAAATGTGGTTATGAAGATAGGTCATATCATGAGCTTATTACTCACTGGGTGGAATTCTGTGTACAGCTAGGCCAACAAACTTCAAACCCCAGAAAATGTGTGAACTGTGGATGTATATTCCACTTCCATCCCTGCTAACAGGATCAATTTCTTCCCCCTCTTCAAACCACACTTTACATCTTCTGCGGACCAGTACATTAATATGCCAAAATTGTTCAGTGTTCTGAATTTGTTGCATGTGGACAGATATGGTAACATGTGATGCTAGCAGGTGCATTTATGTAAAGTTTATCTGCAAATGTGGGAGGGGAAAAAGATGAGAGAAAAATTGTATTCATATAAAAAACAAATATGGCAATACCATGTACCTACCTCTCCTTAGGAACAAAAATAAACTAAGAATATATTTCCTTGTTCTACATATTGGAACACAGGAAGATGTTCAATGCATACATACCCTTGACGAGGAACATTAAGATAAAGTGGTATTTCATTTTCATCCTCAGCAGTAGTTGTTGGTTTTCGAAACAGGGATTTCTGAGCCACTCTAACTGTTGTCCGCCTCTTCAATACACACTGTACATAGAAATAGTTACAGTGTAAGACATTTAAAATTAAGTAGAAAATGTGTTACTTGTATTTTCATGGTTGTATTCAGGGGTACTGATTAAACTTTAATAAATATCTTGTCATTTTTTCATCCAGGTGTATATGTATATTGAAAAGAAATATCAAATATAAAGGATTTGATGTTTTCATGGCTGTGAGTCTTAAGATGGCTGGATGGCTTACTTTTACCACATCAAGAATTTAAAAACTAACCTGGAATTTTAAGATGCAAGATCACAACATTTCCTTTTTTAATACTGTTATGGATTTGGAGAAATATTACACATCTGTAAACATAGTTAATTCTATCACAAGTGTGAGTAAAATGTGAAAGTTAGTTTCAGACTGGGTATCAATATATTACCCCTAAAAATATTATGGGGTGTGATTTATAAAACCTTCAAACACAGAATTTCTTCCTGTCTGCTTTCATCTTTTTCTGGGTCACATCCACAGTATGATTTTGTATGGTTTTGGCAGTGAAATTTAAAACTGATGAAAGAAAGCCATCTTTTATTACTATAATTCAGACATCAACTTCAATGATGTCAATGACAAACTGATCCTTTCATACTAAACATATTTCTCACTTTATTCAAAATAACAACTCTGTGGAGAAGAATCCTTATTAAGAAACTAAGAAGTCAATCAGCTAGTCAAAAAAATAACCAGCCTTTTATGGAATCTAAGAGTCCATTATTGTGTTCACAAGAGTCTACCAGTGATTCCTATCAAACATCAGATAAACCCAGTCCATACCTTTCCACCCTATTTTCCTAAGCTCTATTTTAATATCATCCTCCAATTATATCAGGATCTTCCAAGTTTTCTCTTCCTTCAGGTATTCCAACCAATATTCTGAAAACATTTCTCATCTCCACTAGGTGTGCTACATGACCTATCTACCCCATCCTCCTTAATTTTACCATCCTAATAGTATCTGATCAAGGATACAATTATAAAGTTCTTCATTATGAAGTTTTTTTCAGCTCCTTGTCACTTTGTCCCTCTTAGATATAAACATTTTCTTCAGCACCTTGTCTACATCCATGTATGAATAACATATTTGCACATGCACAATGCAACATAGTACAATCAGTGATTACCCGAGTAGCTGGCTGTGTTTTATCAGTATCTGGCACATCAGGATTTGCAAATTCAACCATTCCAATATCTGAATAAACTTTCTGGCGTACAACTTCTGAATAAACTTTCTGGCGTACAACTGCTAATTCACTGGCAGCTAGAAAGGAACAAACATTAAACACTAGTTCTAAAATCAAGAAATTAGTTTCTCTTACAAACATTCATGTTTGTCTAAATTAATATCACAAACTTGAATAATGCACAACTGTCATAACTTAGTATCAAAGATCATGTTATGTCAATGTTCATGAAAATGAGTATATTTTTCTTGTTTAAGAGGGACACAACATCTGTACATCTTATTATGAAATCCAGTACTGATAAATTAAGGCCTTTTTGCCACATAAAATATGAAGAAACCAGCTGCTTCTCCTTATCCCTAACCTTGCTCTATCTATGCTCACTCTGCGCATGCAGCTGGCGATATCCCTACTTTTAGTACGATGTTTGGCCTGGAATGCAGTGTTTTCAATAGGAATATGTCCCTAAGTGATGAGACTTCCATAGAAGAATATATAATTGTCTGCTGGTTTAGTGTCACCCTTGTCCCATCTCAATTACTGTACTCCCATAACATAATTTGCTAATTCTCTTGACACTGTTCTCAATGACCCTGACCTACAGATACTTGTAACATTTCAAGTTTTGAATCTCATGTTATTTTTCTGTTGCTTAGGTCATGCCAAAGAATCCATCCAAGTCCAGCAGTCTTTATAAAACATTATTATATAATGCCTAGGTGTAAATCTTTCTAAATTTATTAACATTACTTGATAATCACATAACAAACACTTACTTAAGTGATATTCTTCATAATCTGCAAGTGGATCTATCCCAAAGAAAAGAGCAATATCATCTGGGTACCGCAGATCAAAAAACACGATCACAATTCCAATTATGACACATGCTGTACCTTAAAATAAAAATAAAGACTTTTATTTATGTTATGAGCAAAGTTATTCTTCCTTCCAATCAGTACAAAATTTCACATAAAACAGTAATTCCACAATTCTCAAAGAGAGACAGAAATTTAGTAAACTACCTTTCCATCTCTGATACATGTCCTTCACAGAGACAGAAGGTGGTAGAGAACAAAGCAACTACTAATAGCCAAGTGGAAACATACAGAGATTTTGCTTACAAGGGTATGCAAGAATTCCTAAGTTAAAGTGTTACTGGCCCATATAACATGGCAGGCATTCAAGTTAACTTGCATATAGGTAAAAAATAAATTTGGCCAATAAATTAATACAAGCGAGTGAAAACCATAACGTGAGCATCAAAGTAATTACCAAAAAGTTCAACAGGAAGAAAATTCATGTTAACACAAAAGACAAAAGTTTAAATACAAATCCAGTTTCTGGAAGAATACTTTTAAAGCAGTGGCAGAACATTTGGTAAAATGGCTTTAAAGCCTACCATGAATGACAGCAAAGTAAAAAATACAGCATTATTTTCAGACACATTTGTGGAGAAGAGTAAGTGTGACTGCCCGAACATCAAAGTTGTTGTCTATTACTAAAGGATATGAATGATTGATATTGCTACTGTTATTAAACTGGCTTTCTTTTCCATGCACTCTATAGTAAAACTTTTGTGTTTTAAAGTTGGTGGTAAACTATCAAAGAAAAAGAAATTGAAAAGACATTTGATGCTCTCTAATAAACAGTGAAAACTTAACACTAAAGTTTTTAAGTATATACATGCAGAAACTGGTATATGTCACATTTTCTTTAAAATTAATATTTTAGTATCATATCTCTGTTAAAGTAACCTTACAACAGATTTTACATCCAGCAAATTACTGTATTTACTCATACCCTTATTTTTGGTCTGGAAAATAAAAAAACCCAGGTATTAATGTTTTAACACTTTGAAATATATAAAATATGGGCAGTGAAAACATTTTTAAAAAATTATGTTGTATCACGTCTGAAATTTAGGCAGGCAGAGTTAGCATTTGAATTCACCTGGATGCCATGTCTTTCCTCCCTCTAAATATATGTTTCATGTATTACACACATCCTAATTTTAAATACAAATAAATTTGGAAAAAGGAGAAGGGGAAAAAAGAACTGTGTGCTATAAACATGTAAACATGGCATTACTTTAAAAGTAACAAGACAGTTTAATGTTTAATCTTTGTTGACAATGACAAAGGTCCAACAAAGTTCCCAGAATTGAAAGATGTTGAAACTGCTACCAGTATTCATAATTGTATACTGTTACCTGATATGAGTGTGAGCCAGAAATGTATCCCATACTTGGTGGTAATATTACCAGCTTCAAATGGTATTATTAATGGATTTGGGTTCCTGACAACTACCCACAAAAGACAGGCTAGTAATTGTAATGCACCTGTTAGGGCAGAAAAATATGCTCCATATCGAATTACTGATATGAACAAAACGTTTGCCAGAAGCCAACATGGAAAGGCAGCCCTGAAAAAAATTATAGTAATGAATGTAAGGTTTCAAAGACAGGTTGACACTTAAAAGATACAAATTTTCAATCATAAAATACACTTCATAAGTTAGATACATGTATAAGATTAAGAAAAAAATAGATGCTTCTTCGCAACTCATACATTCTTATAAATAAATACTGTTTCAGTTGTATAAAAAGTTTACCATTTATTATGGCTGTGAAAATCAGCTTATTTCAAAAGTTGAAAGAATGATGGCCTTTACAATTAACAACATTTCACACATACATACATACATCTTTATTACATTCCATGGATCCATAAGTTAGTCAGATGACAATAGGATTAGAATAAGTCATAATAATACAATACAAGTCATACTATTATATAAATGTCACAAAAATACAAACAAAGGGTTCACCTGAAGTAGAGATACGTTACAAATAAATCCACCCATTATATATAATAGATAAATTACGACTTACTTGTAAACATTAGAAATTCATCGACAGAGTAAAA